TTTTTTAGAAAAAAATTAACAGAAAAAGAATGTGCAACCCCTTTTTTTGATTAAAATTTAATACCCCTTGAAACCCCCGTTTTCCCTTTTTTTTAAAACCCCCCAAAAATATAAACAACCTTAATTAACTCCGTTTAAATAAACCGGGGAATAAACCCCCCAAAAACCTACCCAAAACCTTAAAAAAATTTTTTACATTTAAAAATTCCCCCAATTTAACTCAAATGCCAATTGGGGTTTTAAAATTTTTATTTTCAAATTTGTAAAAATTTACCAAAAAACTGTTTAATTAAGTTCAATTAAAATTGAAAAAAAACCCCCCCCTTTAAACCTTTTCCATGAAACCAATTTGTTTAAAAAAAATTAAAAATGACATTTTTGGAACAAAAAAATTTTATAATTTTCACCTTTTTTTTTTTCCCCCAAAAAAAGGGGAATACAGTTGAACCCCAGGCCCCCTTTTTTTTTTAAAAATTAAAAAATTTAAAATAACCAAAATTTTTTTTAGATTTGTAAAGTATATTTGGCTTTATTTCTTTAGGGAAAAACCTAAAACCCCCCCCAATTAATTGTTTTTCCTAAAAGAGGTAATGAAGGTAAAAACGATTGTTTTTTTAAATTTTAAAAGTTTTAAAAAATTTAGTCATAATATATTAAAAAACCCCCCATTTTTTTTAAAAGCAAAATCCTTTTTCCCCGGCCAAGAATCAAAAAATTTTTTTTATTTTTTAAAAATTTTTAAATTTTTTAAATTGTTCCCGATTTACCCCTCCCCTTTTTTTTTTTCCGTTTTTAATACACTTTTGCTTTTAAAAACCCCCAAAGTCCCTTTTTTCCCCTTTTTTTAATTTTTTTAACTACCTTTTTTCCCCCCCCCCCCTTCCATAAAAATTGTTCTAAAATTTTTAAAAACTATTCCAACCTCTTCAACCCCCCCACTACTCATCTTTGCACTAGCACACCTTTCTGCCAATAGTCGCTTATATCTCACCCGAACTTCCTCTCCCTTAGTTATACACCTTTCACCACCCTCCTACTTGTTGTTGCCACCTTCCGCTTTCCCATCTACATCTTACTCTAACGGTAAGCTAACAACAAATAATGATCCGATATATCAGATGCCCCCTCTATAAAAATGTACATCCTGGAGCCTACCCATCAACCTTTAACCACCAATACATAATCAATAAACTAACTTTCATTACGTGCAAAACACATATCCTTTTATTTTAATTATCCCTCTTTTTCATAAAATATGTATTACATATACCAAATCTCTTTCTACACATAGCTCATAAAGTTCCACATTTACATATAACCAACTGGGCACCCCAAATTTACCTACTACTCCCTCTCTAACATTTTTTTACCCACTTTTAGCAATGAAATCCCCAACCACCATTACTCTCACACTTGATTCAGAAACTCCCCACGCATTCACTCAACATTTCCCAAAGATCCCTTCTCTCTCCTCTACACTTCTCTCTTCTCCAATGCATACACGCTATTATAACCAATTTTTCACATCCAATCTTATATTTTTACTCCACATAATCCTTGAATAATACATTTATAGTCCCTCTTTTCCTGCCATAACTTATCCTTCAACATATGCCTACTCTTCCTTTTAGCTCTAACTCTATTTGAAACCCCTGACCTAATCCCCATTTAATTCCTCTCCACTGAAACTCTCCCACCTCCTTCAGCTTTGTTTCAACTTAAAGCCAGGACATCAGCTTCTTCTCATTCAAAACATCCACAATCATCTCTTTCTTATCATCTGCACAACATCCACGCACATTCAGACTTCCCACTTTGACAATTTTCTTCTTATTCTTTTTTAGTAATCTTTACAGGAAAAGGGTTACTAGCCCATTGTTCCCGGCATTTTAGTTGACTTTTACAACACGCATGGCTTACGGAGGAAAGATTCTTATTCCACTTCCCCATGGATATAAAAGGAAAATTAATAAGACCAAGAACTATTAAGATAAAATCAAAGAAAACTCAGATGAGTGTGTATAAATAAATGTGTACATGTATGTGTAGTGTGACCTAAGTGTAAGTAGAAGTAGCAAGACATGCCTGTAATCTTGCATATTTATGAGACAGACAAAAGACATCAGCAATCCTACCATCATGTAAAATAATCACAGGCTTTCGTTTTACACTCACTTGACAGGACGGTAGTACCTCCTGGGTGGTTGCTGTCTACCCAACCTACTACATATATATAAAATATATATATATATATATATATATATATATATATATATATATATATATATATATATATATATATATATATATATATAAAATATATATATATATAAAATATACCATATATATATATACCATATATATATATTTCATATATATATATATATATATATATATATATATATATATATATATATATATATATATATTATATATATATTACCATATATAATATACCATATATATATTTCATATATATATATATATATATATATATATATATATATTATATATATAATATATAATAATATATATATAAATATATATATATATATATATATTATATATATATATATATATTATATATAAAATATATATATATAATATATATAATATAAAATATATATATATATATATATATAATATATATATATATTTCATAATAAGCGTGTATGCACCTGGAGAAGAGAGGAATGTAGAGGAGAGAGAGAGATTTTGGGAGAAAGTTATGTGAATGTTAAGGAGCCTTTGAACCAAATGAGAGAGTAATTGTGGTAGGGGACCTGAATGCTAAAGTAGGAGAAACTTTTAGAGAGGGTTGGTAGGTAAGTTTTGGGGTCCCAGTGTAAATGATAATGGGAGCCCTTTGATTGAACTTTGTATAGAAAGGGGTTTAGTTATAGGTAATACATATTTTAAGAAAAAGAGGATAAATAAGTATACAAGATATGATGTAGGGCGAAATGACAGTAGTTTGTTGGATTATGTATTGGTAGATAAAAGACTGTTGAGTAGACTTCAGGATGTACATGTTTATAGAGGGGACACAGATATATCAGAACACTTTCTAGTTGTAGCTACACTGAGAGTAAAAGGTAGATGGGATACAAGGAGAATAGAAGCATCAGAGAAGAGAGAGGTGAAGATCTATAAACTAAAAGAGGAGGCAGTTAGGGTAAGATATAAACAGCTATTGGAGGATAGATGGGCTAATGAGAGCATAGGCAATGGGGTCGAAGAGGTATGGGGTAGGTTTAAAAATGTAGTGTTAGAGTGTTCAGCAGAAGTTTGTGGTTACAGGAAAGTGGGTGCGGGAGGGAAGAGGAGCGATTGGTGGAATGATGATGTAAAGAGAGTAGTAAGGGAGAAAAAGTTAGCATATGAGAAGTTTTTACAAAGTAGAAGTGATGCAAGGAGGGAAGAGTATATGGAGAAAAAGAGAGAGGTTAAGAGAGTGGTGAAGCAATGTAAAAAGAGAGCAAATGAGAGAGTGGGTGAGATGTTATCAACAAATTTTGTTGAAAATAAGAAAAAGTTTTGGAGTGAGGTTAACAAGTTAAGGAAGCCTAGAGAACAAATGGATTTGTCAGTTAAAAATAGGAGAGGAGAGTTATTAAATGGAGAGTTAGAGGTATTAGGAAGATGGAGTATGTAAGAGTATGTAAGAAAGAGGGAAATTATTTCCCAGTAAAAGTAGGCCTTAGTCAAGGATGCGTGATGTCACCGTGGTTGTTTAATATATTTATAGATGGGGTTGCAAGAGAAGTAAATGCGAGGGTCTTGGCAAGAGGCATGGAGTTAAAAGATAAAGAATCACACATAAAGTGGGAGTTGTCACAGTTGCTCTTTGCTGATGACACGGTGCTCTTGGGAGATTCTGAAGAGAAGTTGCAGAGATTGGTGGATGAATTTGGTAGGGTGTGCAAAAGAAGAAAATTAAAAGTGAATACAGGAAAGAGTAAGGTTATGAGGATAACAAAAAGATTAGGTGATGAAAGATTGAATATCAGATTGGAGGGAGAGAGTATGGAGGAGGTGACTGTATTCAGATATTTGGGAGTGGACGTGTCAGCGGATGGGTCTATGAAAGATGAGGTGAATCATAGAATTGATGAGGGAAAAGGGTGAGTGGTGCACTTAGGAGTCTGTGGAGACAAAGAACTTTGTCCTTGGAGGCAAAGAGGGGAATGTATGAGAGTATAGTTTTACCAACGCTCTTATATGGGTGTGAAGCATGGGTAATGAATGTTGCAGCGAGGAGAAGGCTGGAGGCAGTGGAGATGTCATTTCTGAGGGCAATGTGTGGTGTGAATATAATGCAAAGAATTCGTAGTTTGGAAGTTAGGAGGAGGTGCGGGATTACCAAAACTGTTGTCCAGAGGGCTGAGGAAGGGTTGTTGAGGTGGTTCGGAGATGTAGAGAGAATGGAGCGAAACAGAGTGACTTCAAGAGTGTATCAGTCTGTAGTGGAAAGGGAAAGGCGGGGAAAGGGGTTTCGGCCTAGGAAAGGTTGGAGGGAAGGGGTAAAGGGGGTTTTTGTGTGCGAGGGCTTGGACTTCCAGCAGGCATGCGTGAGCGTGTTTGATAGGAAGTGAATGGAGACAATTGGTTTTTAATACTTGACGTGCTGTTGGAGTGTGAGCAAAGTAACATTTATGAAGGGGTTCGGGGAAAACCCGGGCAGGCCGGACTTGATCCTAGAGAGGGGAAGTACAGTGCCTGCACTCTGAAGGAGGAGTTTTAATTTGTTTTTAGTTTAAAAACTGTAGTGTAAAGCACCCTTCTGGCAAGACAGTGATGGAGTGAATGATGGTAAAAAGTTTTTTTTTTTTCCCGGGCCACCCTGCCTTTGGGGGAATCGGCCAGTGTGATAATAAAATAATATAATAAAATATATATATATATATAAATATATATATATATATATATATATATATATATATATAAAATATATATATATAAAATTATATATATATACGTGTGTATGTATTTTCACAAACCTGAACATCTCTCTGATAAGAACTGGAGTTTCAATAAATGACTCTGAAGCCCAGCGGACGATAGTGTCTACAAGGACCTTCTTGAATTTATCAGCAGAATCCAGCACCTCAGGTTCTGGTTCCACTTCCTCCTCTACCTCCTCCTTGGCTCCGCCAATGATTCCCAGGAACTTGGACATCACACCCTTGGAGTTGACTGCCGGAGCCTCCTACAGGGTAGAAGATACAGGTGAAGTTCGAGACACTCACAGGAAGGTGAATCGAGACAGTGTGGTTAAGGCAATTTTTAAATATTATCTAATGATCACCCGGAGAATAAGTATCATCCAGTCTAAGAGAGAGCAACTGTATTTATTCCAAAACATTTGAGTTATTCTCATAAATATGAGGTGCTATCAAAAAGTTTCTGGATTGCAGCGATAAAAAATATATAGGCATACCTAATCACCTAGCTGAAGTTATCTCCCATGAAGTACTCTCCTTGGGAGGTTATACATTGATCGCAGCGCCTCTGCCACTTTAAAAAAAAAAATGAGCATGCTCTTGACTTAGCATGTCTTTTTTGTCCTTGGCTGAGTTAGTGCTTATCCACTGTGAAGACTGTTCATTGGTCTCTGAGTCGTAGCTGTAGATCCAAGTTTCATCATCAGCTTTGACCTTAGAAAGAATATCTGGGTCACCCTTGACTTGATTTTTGGAGGTCCTGACAAACATCCAAGTGATGGTTCCTTTGGTCTTGAGTCAGCAAGTGGAGCACAAATTTCGCAGGTCATTCGCCTCATGTTCAAACTTTCAGTCAAAACGTTTTGACATAACCCATAAAAATTTCCAAGAGCATTTGCAATGTCCTGGATATTCTGATGACATTCTTCGTGAATAACCTTCCTCAATATTTCGATGTTGGCGTGTGTGATGGACGACTAGATTGTTCATCATCCTCAACTGACGTTCGTCTTGCTTTGAATCGAGAAAATACCACTGTGTCTAACCCATGGTTTCACCGCCAAAAGCTTTCTGAAACATTTTGTGAGTTTCGCTAGACGTTTTACCCAGCTTGAAACAGAATTTCACACACACTCTCTGTTTTTTCAAAGATTCAGTTTTGTTACAAAAAATTGCAAAAACGCACTGACGCAAGAAAATGCTCGTCTGACCTCAATGCAATGACCGATCATACTGAAACTTGCCATGTTACTTCACAAAAGAGTGCACTGAGCAATATGATCTACAACACTGCCATATTTCACCAGGAAGCGCGTGAAAATTCGAGTTGGGAATTTTTTGATAGCATCTCGTAAATACACTGGGACAGCCAAAATCTTTATATTTGGCCGTAATGTTTAAGTAGAATATCAATTTGAGTAAAAGAACTTATGCGTAATACTGCTAAATTTAACACCTGTTGGGAGTAAGAAGGTCATTACTGCCTCACAAAAACTGAGACCTCAACATGCAACGATGTCGTCTTAAGTTCGTTCTGTCACCACAAGAGTACCACCCACCTCAGTGTCTACTGTCTCTTCCCGTCTTCCAGGTATCTTGGTCTTCTCCATGAGTTTCTCATGATAGTCCTGTAGCTCCTTCCTCAGATCTTCCCCACAGGGCGTCTCTTCCAGTTCCTCATCACTAAGGTTCTTGAAGCCCAAGATGGCATTCATCTGCTCTCTGGGTGGACAACGGAACTCCCTAGTCTTCCTAGCAGCCACAGAAGATGGTAAATCTGACTGCTTGATCTCAATGTATCGCCTCAGTTGATCTTGTTGAATCTGCAAAATTTTATTATTATTATTATTTACTATTTACATATTATTATCATTATTATGATTGTCATTAGTATTATTATTATTACTGCAGTACTGATAAAGTTCTGTGACATCCTCCTTGCTGGAGTATCCTGGAAGAGTTATAACATCCTCGTCATCTCACCCAACACATTTGAACATTTCCACTTGTCAAAGGTAAGGTGATAATGCTAGGCTGCCACCAAGGTCAGGTATATACTGGCAAGCTGCGACTAAGGCCAGGTATATACTGGCAAACTGCCACTAAAGTCAGGACATTTATCAAAGCAAACATTTCGCCACAAGTTGCTTCATCAGTAATCACTGGAGTGAAGAAGATACTTGACGAGTGTGCTTCATGCAGGTGGATGATAATACTGGTTTGTGTTTCATGCAGGTGGATGATAATACTGGTGTGTGCTTCATGCTGGTGAATGATAATACTGGAGTGTGCTTCATGCAGGTAGATGATAATACTGGAGTGTGCTTCATGCAGGTGGATGATAATACTGGAGTGTGCTTCATGCAGGTGGATGATAATACTGGAGTGTGCTTCATGCAGGTGGATGATAATACTGGAGTGTGCTTCATGCAGGTGGATGATAATACTGGAGTGTGCTTCATGCAGGTGAATGTTTTACTGGTGTGTGTTTCATGCTGGTGAATGATAATACTGGAGTGTGCTTCATGCAGGTAGAGATAATACTGGGGTGGGGCTTATGCAGGTGGATGATAATACTGGAGTGTGCTTCATGCAGGTGGATGATAATACTGGAGTGTGCTTCATGCAGGTGGATGATAATACTGGAGTGTGCTTCATGCAGGTGGATGATAATACTGAGTGTGCTTCAAAGCAGATAATGATAATACTGGAGTGTGCTTCATGCAGGTGGATGATAATACTGGATGTGCTTCATGCAGGTAGATGATAATACTGGAGTGTGCTTCATGCAGGTGGATGATAATACTGGAGTGTGCTTCATGCAGGTGGATGATAATACTGGAGTGTGCTCCATGCAGATAGATGATAATACTGGAGTGTGCTTCATGCAGGTGGATGATAATACTGGGGTGTGCTTCATGCAGATAGATGATAATCTGGGGTGTGCTTCATGCAGGTGGATGATAATACTGGAGTGTGCTTCATGCAGGTAGATGATAATACTGGAGTGTGCTTCATGCAGGTGGATGATAATACTGGAGTGTGCTTCATGCAGATAGATGATAATACTGGAGTGTGCTTCATGCAGGTAGATGATAATACTGGAGTGTGCTTCATGCAGGTGGATGATAATACTGGTGTGTGCTTCATGCAGATAGATGATAATACTGGAGTGTGCTTCATGCAGATAGATGATAATACTGGAGTGTGCTTCATGCAGGTGGATGATAATACTGGAGTGTGCTTCATGCAGATAGATGATAATACTGGAGTGTGCTTCATGCAGGTGGATGATAATACTGGAGTGTGCTTCATGCAGGTGGATGATAATACTGGAGTGTGCCTCATGCAGGTGGATGATAAACTGGAGTGTGCTTCAAAGCAGATAGATGATAATACTGAGTGTGCTTCATGCAGGTGGATTTATAATACTGGTGTGTGCTTCATGCAGGTAAAGATAATACCCGGAGTGTGCTTCATGCAGGTGGATGATAATACTGGTGTGTGCTTTTATGCAGATAGATGATAATACTGGAGTGTGCTTCATGCAGGTGGATGATAATACTGGAGTGTGCTTCATGCAGGTGGATGATAATACTGGAGTGTGCTTCATGCAGGTAGATGATAAAAACTGGAGGTGTGCTTCATGCAGGTGGATGATAATACTGGAGCGTGCTTCATGCAGGTGGATGATAATACTGGTGTGTGCTTCATGCAGGTAGATGATAATACTGGAGTGTGCTTCATGCAGGTGGATGATAATACTGGAGTGTGCTTCATGCAGGTGGATGATAATACTGGAGTGTGCTTCATGCAGATAGATGATAGTACTGGAGTGTGCTTCATGCAGGTGGATGATAATACTGGAGTGTGCTTCATGCAGGTGGATGATAATACTGGAGTGTGCTTCATGCTAGTGAATGATAATACTGGAGTGTGCTTCATGTTGGTGGATGATAATACTGGAGTGTGCTTCATGCAGGTGGATGATAATACTGGAGTGCGCTTCATGCAGGTGGATGATAATACTGGAGTGTGCTTCATGCTGGTGAATGATAATACTGGAGTGTGCTTCATGTTGGTGGATGATAATACTGGAGTGTGCTTCATGTTGGTGGATGATAATACTGGAGTGTGCTTCATGCAGATAGATGATAATACTGGAGTGTGCTTCATGTTGGTGGATGATAATACTGGAGTGTGCTTCATGTTGGTGGATGATAATACTGGGAGTGTGCTTCATGTTGGTGGACGATAAAAACTGGAGTGTGCTTCATGTTGGTGGATGAAAAATACTGGAGTGTGCTTCATGCAGATAGATGATAATACTGGAGTGTGCTTCATGTTGGTGGATGATAATACTGGAGTGTGCTTCATGCAGATAGACGATAATACTGGAGTGTGCTTCATGTTGGTGGATGATAATACTGGAGTGTGCTTCATGTTGGTGGATGATAATACTGGAGTGTGCTTCATGTTGGCGGATGATAATACTGGAGTGTGCTTCATGTTGGTGGATGATAATACTGGAGTATGTTTCATGGTTGTGGATAACAGTGGAGCGAGTGTGCTTCATACTGGTGGAAGAAAACAGTGGAGTGTGCTTCATACTGGTGGATGATAACAGTGGAGTGAGTGTGCTTCATACTGGTGGATGATAACAGTGGAGCGAGTGTGCTTCATACTGGTGGAAGAAAACAGTGGAGTGTGCTTCATACTGGTGGATGATAACAGTGGAGCGAGTGTGCTTCATACTGGTGGATGATAACAGTAGAGTGAGTGTGCTTCATACTGGTGGATAACAGTGGAGTGAGTGTGCTTTATACTTGTGGATGATAAGTGGAGTGAGTGTGCTTCATACTGGTGGATGATAACAGTGGAGTGAGTGTGCTTCATATTATTGGATGATGACAGTGGAGTGAGTGTGCTTCATACTGGTGGATGATGACAGTGGAGTGACTGTGCTTCATGCTGGTGGATGATGACAGTGGAGTGACTGTGCTTCATGCTGGTGGATGATGACAGTGGAGTGAGTGTGCTTCATACTGGTGGATGATGAAAGTGGAGTGAGTGTGCTTCATACTGGTGGATAACAGTGGAGTGAGTGTGCTTCATACTGGTGGATGATAAAAGTGGAGTGAGTGTGCTTCATACTGTTGGATGATAACAGTGGAGTGAGTGCTTCATACTGGTGGATGACAGTGGAGTGAGTGTGCTTCATACTGGTGGATGATGAAAGTGGAGTGAGTGTGCTTCATACTGGTGGATGATGACAGTGGAGTGAGTGTGCTTCATGCTGGTGGATGATGACAGTGGAGTGAGTGTGCTTCATACTGGTGGATGACAGTGGAGTGAGTGTGCTTCATACTGGTGGATGATGACAGTGGAGTGAGTGTGCTTCATACTGGTGGATGATAACAGTGGAGTGAGTGTGCTTCATACTGGTGGATGATAACAGTGGAGTGAGTGTGCTTCATACTGGTGGATGATAACAGTGGAGTGACTGTGCTTAATACTGGTAGATGATAACAGTAGACTGAGTGTGCTTCATACCGGTGGATGATAACAGTGGAGTGTGCTTCATACTGGTGGATGATAAAAGTGGAGTGAGTGTGCTTCATACTGGTGGATGATAACAGTGGAGTGAGTGTGCTTCATACTGGTGGATGATAACAGTGGAGTGAGTGTGCTTCATACTGGTGGATAACAGTGGAGTGTACTTCATACTGGTGGATGATGAAAGTGGAGTGAGTGTGCTTCATACTGGTGGATGATGACAGTGGAGTGAGTGTGCTTTATACTGGTGGAAAGAAAGACAGTGGAGTGAGTGTGCTTCATATGGGGGATGAAACATGGAGTGAGTGTGCTTCATACTGGTGGAGATAACATGGAGTGAGTGTGCTTCATACTGGTGGATGATAACAGTGGAGTGAGTGTGCTTCATACTGGTGGATGATAACAGTGGAGTGAGTGTGCTTCATACTGGTGGATGATGACAGTGGAGTGACTGTGCTTCATGCTGGTGGATGATGACAGTGGAGTGACTGTGCTTCATGCTGGTGGATGATGACAGTGGAGTGAGTGTGCTTCATACTGGTGGATGATGACAGTGGAGTGAGTGTGCTTCATACTGGTGGATGATGACAGTGGAGTGAGTGTGCTTCATACTGGTGGATGATAACAGTGGAGTGAGTGTGCTTCATACTGGTGGATGATAACAGTAGAGTGATGTGCTTCATACTGGTGATGGTACTGTAGTGTGCTTTATACTGGTGGATGATAACAGTAGAGTGAGTGTGCTTCATACTGGTGGATGGTAACTGTAGTGTGCTTTATACTGGTGGATGATAACAGTAGAGTGAGTGTGCTTCATACTGGTGGATGGTAACTGTAGTGTGCTTCATACTGGTGGATGATGACAGTGGAGTGAGTGTGCTTCATACTGGTGGATGATAACAGTGGAGTGAGTGTGCTTCATACTGGTGGATGATAACAGTGGAGTGAGTGTGCTTCATACTGGTGGATGATGACAGTGGAGTGACTGTGCTTCATGCTGGTGGATGATGACAGTGGAGTGACTGTGCTTCATGCTGGTGGATGATGACAGTGGAGTGAGTGTGCTTCATACTGGTGGATGATGACAGTGGAGTGAGTGTGCTTCATACAGGTGGATGATGACAGTGGAGTGTGCTTCATACTGGTGGATGATAACAGTGGAGTGAGTGTGCTTCATACTGGTGGATGATAACAGTAGAGTGAGTGTGCTTCATACTGGTGGATGGTAACTGTAGTGTGCTTTATACTGGTGGATGATAACAGTAGAGTGAGTGTGGGTTCATACTGGTGATGGTAACTGTAGTGTGCTTCATACTGTGGATGATGACAGTGGAGTGAGTGTGCTTTTAAAACTGGTGGATGATAACAGTGGAGTGAGTGTGCTTCATACTGGTAGATGATAACAGTGGAGTGAGTGTGCTTCATACTGGTGGATGACAGTGGAGTGAGTGTGCTTCATACTGGTGGATGATGAAAGTGGAGTGAGTGTGCTTCATACTGGTGGATGATAACAGTGGACTGAGTGTGCTTCATACTGGTGGATGATAACAGTGGAGTGACTGTGCTTCATAATGGTGGATGATAACAGTGGAGTGAGTGTGCTTCATACTGGTGGATGATAAAGGTGGAGTGAGTGTGCTTCATACTGTTGGATGATAACAGTGGAGTGAGTGCTTCATACTGGTGGATGACAGTGGAGTGAGTGTGCTTCATACTGGTGGACGATGAAAGTGGAGTGAGTGTGCTTCATACTGGTGGATGATGACAGTGGAGTGAGTGTGCTTCATACTGGGGATGATAACAGTGGAGTGGGGTGGGCTTCATACTGGTGGATGAAACAGTGGAGTGAGTGTGTTTCATACTGGTGGATGATAACATGGAGTGAGTGTGTTTCATAACTGGGGGGATGATAACAGTGGAGTGAGTGTGCTTCATACTGGTGGATGATAACAGTGGAGTGAGTGTGCTTCATACTGGTGGATGATAACAGTGGAGTGAGTGTGCTTCATACTGGTGGATGATGACAGTGGAGTGACTGTGCTTCATGCTGGTGGATGATGACAGTGGAGTGACTGTGCTTCATGCTGGGGGATGATGACAGTGGAGTGAGTTGCTTCATACTGGTGGATGATGACAGTGGAGTGAGTGTGCTTCCTACTGGTGGATGATGACATGGAGTGAGTGTGCTTCATACTGGTGGATGATAACAGTGGAGTGAGTGTGCTTCATACTGGTGGATGATAACAGTAAGTGAGTGTGCTTCATACTGGTGGAAAGGTAACTGTAAATGTGCTTTATACGGTGGGTGATAACAGTTTAAGTGAGTGTGCTTCATAAATGGTGTTTGGGAACTGTAGTGTGCTTTTACTGGTGGATGATAACAGTAGAGTGAGTGTGCTTCATACTGGTGGATGGTAACTGTAGTGTGCTTCATACTGGTGGATGATGACAGGGAGTGAGTGTCTTCATACTGGTGGATTTATAACAGTGGAGTGATGTGGCTTCATAACTGGTGGATGATAACAGTGGAGTGAGTGTGCTTCAACTGGTGGATGATGACAGTGGAGTGACTGTGCTTCATGCTGGTGGATTTATGACAGTGGAGTGACTGTGCTTCATTTCTGGTGGATGAGACAGTGGAGTGAGTGTGCTTCATACTGGTGGATGATGACAGTGGAGTGAGTGTGCTTCATACTGGTGGATGATGACAGTGGAGTGTGCTTCATACTGGTGGATGATAACAGTGGAGTGAGTGTGCTTCATACTGGTGGATGATAACAGTAGAGTGAGTGTGCTTCATACTGGTGGATGGTAACTGTAGTGTGCTTTATACTGGTGGATGATAACAGTAGAGTGAGTGTGCTTCATACTGGTGGATGGTAACTGTAGTGTGCTTCATACTGGTGGATGATGACAGTGGAGTGAGTGTGCTTCATACTGGTGGATGATAACAGTGGAGTGAGTGTGCTTCATACTGGTAGATGATAACAGTGGAGTGAGTGTGCTTCATACTGGTGGATGACAGTGGAGTGAGTGTGCTTCATACTGGTGGATGATGAAAGTGGAGTGAGTGTGCTTCATACTGGTGGATGATAACAGTGGACTGAGTGTGCTTCATACTGGTAGATGATAACAGGGAGTTGACTGTGGCTTCATAATGGTGGATGATAACAGTGGAGTGAGTGTGCTTCATACTGGTGGATGATAAAGGTGGAGTGAGTGTGCTTCATACTGTTGGATGATAACAGTGGAGTGAGTGCTTCATACTGGTGGATGACAGTGGAGTGAGTGTGCTTCATACTGGTGGGCGATGAAAAGGGAGTGAGTGTGCTTCATACTGGTGGATGATGACAGTGGAGTGAGTGTGCTTCATACTGGTGGATGATAACAGTGGAGTGAGTGTGCTTCATACTGGTGGATGATAACAGTGGAGTGAGTGTGTTTCATCTGGTGGGGTGATAACAGTGGAGTGAGTGTGCTTCATACTGGTGGATGATAACAGTGGAGTGAGTGTGCTTCATACTGGTGGATGATAACAGTGGAGGAGTGTGCTTTTATACTGGTGGATGATGACAGTGGAGTGACTGGCTTCATGCTGGTGGATGATGACAGTGGAGTGACGTGCTTCATGCTGGTGGATGATGACAGGGTGGTGAGTGGCTTCTACGGTGGATTTTGGTAACTGTAGTGTGCTTTTTACTGGTGGATGATACAGTGGAGTGAGTGTGCTTCATACTGGTGGATAACAGTGGAGTGTGCTTCATACTGGTGGATGATAAAGTGAGTGAGTGTGCTTTCATACTGGTGGATGATGACAGTGGAGTGAATGTCTTCATAAATGGTGGATGATAACAGTGGAGTGAGTGTGCTTCATACTGGTGGATGATAACAGTGGAGTGAGTGTGCTTCATACTGGTGGATGATAACAGTGGAGTGAGTGTGCTTCATACTGGTGGATGATGACAGTGGAGTGACTGTGCTTCATGCTGGTGGATGATGACAGTGGTGTGAGTGTGCTTCATACTGGTGGATGATAACAGTGGAGTGACTGTGCTTCATACTGGTGGATGATAACAGTGGAGTGAGTGTGCTTCATACTGGTGGATAACAGTGGAGTGTGCTTCATACTGGTGGATGATGAAAGTGGAGTGAGTGTGATTCATACTGGTGGATGATGACAGTAGTGAGTGTGCTTCAAAACTGGTGGATGATAACAGTGGAGTGAGTGTGCTTCATACTGGTGGATAACAGTGGAGTGTGCTTCATACTGGTGGATGATGAAAGTGGAGTGAGTGTGCTTCATACTGGTGGATGATGACAGTGGAGTGAGTGTGCTTCATACTGGTGGATGATAACAGTGGAGTGTGCTTCATACTGGTGGATGATAACAGTGGAGTGAGTGTTTCTTTATACTGGAGGATGATAAAGTGGATGAGTGTGCTTCATACTGGGGGGATGATACAGTGAGTGGACTGGGGCTTCATGCGTGGATGAAGACAGTGGTGTGAGTGTGCTTCATACTGGTGGATGATAACAGTGGAGTGACTGTGCTTCATGCTGGTGGATGATGACAGTGGTGTGAGTGTGCTTCATACTGGTGGATGATGACAGTGGAGTGAGTGTGCTTCATACTGGTGGATGATAACAGTGGAGTGAGTGTGCTTCATACTGGTGGATGATAACAGTGGAGTGAGTGTGCTTCATACTGGTGGATGATGACAGTGGAGTGAGTGTGCTTCATACTGGTGGATGATGACATGGAGTGAGTTTTGCTTCATACTGGTGGATGAATGACAGTGGAGTGAGTGTGCTTCATACTGGTGGATGATAACAGTGGAGTGAGTGTGCTTCATACTGGTGGATGATGAAAAGTGGAGTGAGTGTGCTTCATACGTGGATGATGAGTGGAGTGAGTGTGCTTCATACTGGTGGATGATGACAGTGGAGTGAGTGTGCTTCATACTGGTGGATGATAACAGTGGAGTGAGTGTGCTTCATACTGGTGGATGATAACAGTGGAGTGAGTGTGCTTCATACTGGTGGATGATAACAATGGAGTGAGTGTGCTTCATACTGGTGGAGGATGACAGTGGAGTGAGTGTGCTTCATACTGGTGGATGATGACAGTGGAGTGAGTGTGCTTCATACTGGTGGAGATAACGTGGAGTGAGTGGGGCTTCATACTGGTGGATGATGACAGTGGAGTGAGTGTGCTTCATGCTGGTGGATGATGACAGTGGAGTGAGTGTGCTTCATACTGGTGGATGTAATTTCAAACACGACATTTCTAAGGTTATAACTAAGTTAGTCTTCACACTGATGACGTTTTGACAACATCGTCTTCGTCCGATTACAATACGAAGAATAGGTGACACCAAGATGTTGGATGGTAAACTTGTTAGGCCAAACTTGAAGTAATCAAGTAGAACTTGAGGAATGGGGAAGGGTAGGCTCACCCCTCTTCCCCACGCCGTGTGTGTGTGTGTGTGTGTTTTTGTGTGGTGTGTGTGTGTGTGTGTGTGTGTGTGTTGTGTGTGTTGTGTGTGTGTGTGTGTGTGTGTGCGTGGGCGTGCAGAAAAACAACGTGGTCACTTGCCTCGCCCACGTAGTCGTGAGAGAAGGCGATGAGGCTCTCCACACGGTGTCTCTTCTGCAGGTCCAGCAGGTGGTGTAGGACGTAGCACAGCTGGAGCTTCACGCCTTCTGCTATCTCCATCTGTAGGATCCCCTTTCTGTTCTCGTCTTTGCCCTCTGAAAGGATCCGCAAGATATTCTTTATACTCTGAACTTACTAATGAAATATTCTTATCTTCTCTGAAAGGATCCGTAAGATATTCTTTATACTCTGAACTTATTAATGAAATATTCTTATGTTCTCTGAAAGGATCCGTAAGATATTCTTTGTACTCTGAACTTATTAATGAAATATTCTTATCTTCTATGAAAGGATCCGTAAGATATTCTTTGTACTCTGAACTTATTAATGAAATATTCTTATCTTCTCTGAAAGGATCCGTAAGATATTCTTTGTACTCTGAACTTATTAATGAAATATTCTTATCTTCGTAGCTTATGAAGAAATGTTCCTTATCTGAAATTATCAGTATAACATTTCTTACCCTTTAAGATGAATTAATATTTGTGAACCACTGGAATAATTAATATGATTTACCCTCTCAAATAAGAATTTTTTTTTTTACCAGGCGAAATTAATATTTAACTATTGCTAGATCATAGAAATCCACTATAGACTAAAATTGTGACCACGTCCTGTCACGTGACCTCTATTATTTATTATTAATTATAATTATTTATTTTATTATATTATTATTTTTATTATAATTGTTATTTATCATTATTATTTTAATTATTATTAATATTATTGTTGTTATTTATTATATTATTATTATTAATACTTCCTCTTTGTTAACTGTAATTTTATTTTCGTTTATTTTTACGTCATTATAAACTTTATAAATAATTACCTCCAGATGTTTAATTCCATAATGTTAATCAATATTATTTTTGTTGTTGTCGTTGTTCAGAAGCATGAAAATATATGGTGATGGTCTGATGCTACTCAAACATTGTTCTTCCCGTCGCGCATCGTTCCCAGTCAACTGATGCCTGCTATTTTTATATTTCCGTTTTTTTAAGTATTCTTCTTGGAATCGAATAAATCTGTTGTGTTTACCCGTCTAAGAGTATACCTGTCTAAGGGTACACCTGTCTATATCTTCTAAGAGTATATATCTAACAGTATACCGGTCTAAGAGTATACCTGTCTACGTATACCTAAGAGTATACCTGTCTACGTATACCTAAGTATACCTGTCTGAGAGTATACCTGTCTAAGCGTATACAGGTAGGTAATAGTCTTTAGTTATACCTGTCTAGAGTATAACTATAGGTGCTATAGGTAGGTATATAGGGTGGTAATATATGGACTTTATGCCTATCTAGAATATAAGGACAGGCAATAAAGAATCTTTATTTATACCTTTTTTTTTTCAACAAGTCGGTCGTCTCCCACCGAGGCAGGGTGACCCAAAAAAGAAAGAAAATCCCCAAAAAGAAAATACTTTCATCATCATTCAACACTTTCACCACACTCACACATTATCACTGCTTTTGCAGAGGTGCTCAGAATACAACAGTTTAGAAGCATATACGTATAAAGATACACAACATATCCCTCCAAAATATATAATATAGATCAACTTTATTTTAGACGAGGTTTTCCTGAGCTCTATCAGCTTTACAGTTTTAATAATTTTAAATATAAACCAGATATTAAAACACAACACACTAAGTATTACCAGTCTTTTGCACTTCAACCACGACACTAACTCATTGCTACATGTCCTCCGACGTATCCAGTTCTATATCACTGCCCACGTATCTAGGTCTGTATCAATGCCCACGTATCTAGGTCTGTATCACTGCCCACGTACATAGTTTTACATGGTTCCCTACGTACCCAGTTCTATATGACTTAGGCACTTAGCCAAGGGTGTGCTCGCACGCCTTATTTCTGCGTCACGTACCGGGCTCGAAGTCAGGGTCCCACGTCTGTGGGTCGATCATGATAAGGAGTCGCTTGATGTCATCGTCTTGCAAGATGCCCACCAGCAGCAACTTGTCCACCAGCTTCAGTAGTGGACTGCAACAGAGTACGGTGTTATCGTTGCAACACAAACGTATCACACACGCAAAACTAGGAACTATTACTACTCCACACACTCACCTTAAGAAATCTACACTTAATTCAAAAATTTTATGGGCTCAGCCTGCATCATAGGCCTTCAGGAAAATAAATATATGTATCGGAGTTCAATAAGGCCGAGTATCACAACATATCTAGAATGACAATTTAAAGGCTGAACGTAATTTAATTTCACAAAGACAATTTTCTCAGTGCAGACATGAGTTACACAAAGACAACTTCTCAGTACAGACATGAGTTACACAAAGACAACTTCTCAGTACAGACATGAGTTACACAAAGACAACTTCTCAGTACAGACATGAGTTACACAAAGACAACTTCTCAGTGCAGACATGAGTTACACAAAGACAACTTCTCAGTACAGACATGAGTTACACAAAGACAACTTCTCAGTGCAGACATGAGTTGCACAAAGACACCTTCTCAGTACAGACATGAGTTACACAAAGTCAACTTCTCAGTGCAGACATGAGTTACATGAAGACAACTTCTCAGTGCAGACATGAGTTACACAAACACAACTTCTCAGTACAGACATGAGTTACACAAAGACAAAACTTCTCAGTCCAGACATGAGTTACACAAAGACAACTTCTCAGTGCAGACATGAGTTACACAAGACAACTTCTCAGTGCTGACATGAGTTATTTACACAAAACCAACTTTTCAGAATAAACATGAGTTACTTACACAAAGAGATTTTCGTTGGATCCTCCTATTGGATCTCTGTTGTGGATCTGGTTGGTCTTAACAGCATCTGAGAGGGCGTTCATGACGAATTCTCTGGCCACGTCGAGTGGGAAGTACGGAGAGGAGAGTCCCTTGATGGTCTCGATGTTGGTGCTGTTGTTGACGACGTGAACACCGGCAGACAAGTAAGTGGAAAGCATGGGTTGTGTCTCCGAGTTGCCCAGCTGGCTACAGTGGGCAGGAAAGGAAGTTTGGGAACAGGTAAGGTGATTCGGGGAAACGTATAGGCAAAGGGAGGTGTGTTGAAGGCAAGTGAGGCATGCGCACAAGCACCGTCCACAGTGCACGTGCCAAAAATAACCCAAGGCAGATGTTCCAAAGTGCATACGCCAAAACATAAGGAGAGAAGGCAGGTGTTGGAGCGTTGTTAGAGCCATGGTGATGGTGGTGGTGGAGATGCAGGAGAGCAGCAATCAGTGGTCATGGTGAGGTACACAATGTGTTAGCACCAGATGACACGGGTTACCAGTGCAGACCAACACAAGCCCAAAACAATGTAAGAAGAAAAAAAGGTAAAACAAAAAAATATATATAGATACTTGTAAATCAGACGCATGTCGTAAATTATTATCACTTAGCAAATGAGGCCAAATAAAAAAGGTTATAAAATGTTCAGTTTCTTTATAAAAAAAATAACCAAAAAGAACGTGAGAAGCAGACTAATAAAATAAATAATATTGCAACATAAATATTTACAGTTGGTAAAATGTTAGTTACGACCCACTATAAATTTTTGGAGTCACAGCCCAAAAATTTTGGAGTAATTAATAACTAAAATGTCAGGAATACTAACAAAAAATTTCAGGAGTAATGATGCAAAACACGTAATAACTCAAAATTTCAGTAGCATATACATACATACATACATACATAAATATATAAATACATACATACATACATATATATATATATATATATATATATATAATATATAATATATATATATATATATAATATATATATATATATATATATATATATATATTCTCTGTAGTAAATTCCAATTAATTTAAATACTCTGTTAATTATTTATCTCAATAAATTGAATAAAGTAAGTGTGCTAAAGTGACTCATGTAGCTTAAAATATTTCTTGATGCACAATACGAGTTTATGTAATATATTTAGATAACTTAACGCAAATAAACGATTTATGAGCTCAGGTGTTTATTGTCTCTGGTGTTGTGTGAGCTGAACAACATTACCACGGACACGAACCTGATGTCTGACATAGTCATGATGGGCCGGATAGACTCAGTGTGTGTGGCAGACATGGAGTTACCCATGCCTTCCTCACTATAGATTTCCTTCAGCTCGTTACTCAGGGGCACGATGAACTCATTGTGGGTCACCTCCCTGCAGGAAGACCATCGTCAGTAATGAACAAGCAGTAGTCAAAGGCATCTGCGTTTTTATCTATAGCAATGCAATAATCGTAACCTAGCGATAACAAATACAAAACAACCACAGAGTGGGGGAGTTGAATGACAGCTCTAGGCCTTTCGTGTTGCAGTCAACACACTGTCAAGAGCTTGCGATACTGGAATATAAAAGGTCAGCCCAGGTATGCCTATGAAGACATCTCATGAAGGAAGAGCCGCCCAAGTTTACCCAGTCTGACTTACCATCAGATGCCAGATGCCAAAGATTCAAGAAAGTAATTCAAGAAGCAGCAGAAAAAGATAGCCAGCCCATAAGTGTTGTAGGTGTGGTAATAAAGGGGAGAATATATCATTAATGGTATGTCAAGTCAGGCCTTTCGAACCTCCATACGTATTGTTACAATTAACAAATAACTCATCTCTCGTGTGCGTCGCATTATCTAAGTTCTGGAAATTTCCTCACGAAGTAGCCTCATAGATCAAACACATTAAACAATATTTATATTTCAAGGACATTCACAAAATAACTCATTTAATGTTATGCATCTTTCGACAGTTTCGTCTCGTTATTTAATAAGCGGTACCGAAGCGTTAGGGAAAGACTAATCTGTCTAGTTCACTGGTAGGCGCAACACTTAACACTCCATAAATAAGTTAATAAGAAAATCAGAATTAGCGTGCTGAGACCAACCGCCTTATGCTATATGAGTGTTCAGCTTCCTAGCATAGTTAACATTTAGTCTTTTTTTTATTAACATATCGGCGGGTGGCCCAAAAAAGAAAAACTTTCATCATCATTCAGTCTTGCATTTCATATTCTTAATTCCATGTATACTACCACTATATGCTAAAAGATTGTTCAACTTCCTAGCATGGTTAACATACAGTCTTAACATTTCATTATTCCTAACTCCATGTATACTACACTGTGGAGTAGATGATCTTGCACTGACAACGCTACCGTCTTAAAAAATATTTCTTGGGTTTTCCTCAGTTTTATAAATAATATTTTCCTTTTCTGTGTAATTAGCAAATCAATATTCTCAGAAAAGACTAACCTGTGTAGTAGATCAGAGTCAATGAAAGATTGACCAACCTGCTCTGTAGTAGCGATTATGTTAAAACTTGTTCACTGAGACAGGCAATCAACTATTTGGGTTGAACTCCATTTCTGTTTCGCTATTACAGCTCTTGATAATGTGTCGACTGCAACACGAAAGGCCTGGAGCTGTCATTCAATTCTCCTTCTCTGTGGTTATATGGTTACTATTATGGAGTGTGGTTGAATTGCATCTATAACAGTGTCGAACCTCTTAGGCAGATGCTCTTTAAAAACTTTATATACTCTGTTTGTTTGGTAAAAAAAACGCACAGGTTCTACCTACACTCAGGTTCTACCTACACTCACAGGTTCTACCTACACTCACAGGTTCTACCTACACTCACAGGTTCTACCTATACTCACAGGTTCTACCTGCATTCACAGGTTCTACCTGCACTCAAAGGTTCTACCTACACTCACAGGTTCTACCTACACTCACAGGTTCTACCTACAATCACAGGTTCTACCTAAACTCACAAGTTTACCTTCACTCACAGGTTCTACCTACACTCACAGGTTCTACCTATGCTCACAGGTTCTATCTTTACTCACAGGTTTACCTTCACTCACAGGCTTTACCTACACTCACACTCTCTACCTAAAGAGCACATCAATACAACTGAAAGGAGACTTACATAGTATTAGCGAAGCTCTCCAGATGCAACGATATCAGGAGATTATAGAAGCCCATTCTGAGAGGTCCAGACATATACTCGTTCTGCATAGCGTAAAGCAGCTGCTTCTGGTCCACGTGATTACACAGGGTGTGCGCTGCGCGATAGTTGCTCTGGTAGCACACCGCGCAGTAGAGTGCTAGCGTCTGCGCGTGGAAGCTGAGCAGCTTGTCGTATTCGATCAGTTCGAGGATGTCGATGCATCGGTCCTCCTCCGGGATGTGGAGGGCGAGCATCGGCACTGGGTCTTCGGCCAGCATAGACCACCCGCGGATGTCGGAGAGTTTGAGAGCGTGAATCTTGAGTGATGTATTTGGCACCCTGGACCACTGGAAAGGCTGTAAGATAACAAAACAGTCAGTATTGTCACCCTGCACCACCGGAAAGGCTTTAAGATAGCAAAACAGTCAGCACTGTTACTCTGGACCACTGGTAAGGCTGTAACATAACTACATAATCAAGGCCACTGGTGAGGGTGTAATATAACAAAATACAATCAGTACCGCCATGACCACTAGTAAGGTGGTGGTCCAACTCGAAGTGGACGGGTCTTATTCTGAGAGCGTGCGCCCTATTCTGAATGTGTAGGTCTTATTCTGTGTGTTGGTCTCATTCTGAGAACAGGGGTCATATTCTAACTGTGTGGGGTGTGTTGTGAGTGGTGTTATATTTAGAGAATCTGGGCCGTGTTGTAAATCTCGACAAACTCAATGCACAGGTGGAACACACAAGGAACACTTGGAACCTTCATGAAGAGAAACCATACCACGGGTGGGATTTGAACCCGTGGTCAGAGTCCAGTGGCTAACGCGACGGACTGGAGTTTTGAGACTCTGACCGCGGGTTCAAATCCCGCCCGTGGTATTGTTTGTTTGCAATCGTGTCATTACGATTTCGTGATTCATGAAGAGCAATGTAGATAGGTTGGCGTTCTGGTCAGAGGCGAGGAAGACGAATCTGAACGAATACAAGTGAAAAATAATGAATTTTTTGGTATAAAGTCTCAAACGTGAATGTAATTTTTTTTTGGCAACAAGCGAACCAAACAAAACACAAATAACCCACACATAGGACAATGCAACTAATGACGACGTTTCGGTCAGTATATATATATATATATATACTGCCTCCTCTTCCTTCGCCCTTATGTGACTAGTTAATGGTCCAAGTCGGACCGAAACGTTTTTATTAGTTTCATTCTCATATGTGCGGCTTATCTGTGTATTGTTCCAGTCACGGTACAAAAGAGAAGGGCAGTGGAACATACAATAAAAGTAGGAGGAACATGGGGTTCATACCTTAAGTATCTGTACTTTAAGACGCGGAGGCATCTGAGGCACAACATGCTTGTCACTGTTCTGGAGCACAGCAGCACTGAGAGGCAGCGTGTTGGGGGTGCGTCCCAGCTCGATCTGCAGCACCTCCTTGCTGGTCGGCTCGAGGAAGACCCCTGGGAAGAGCTTGGTGCCTGGCTCCATGCGGTACTTGTGTCGGGTGTCCTTGCCGTCACACTGCAGCGTGATGAAGCCGGTGGAGGTGTCGATGAAGCAACCGATGAACATGCCTTGCGAGGCGCTCTTCCCGCCGGTGTCAGATGACACCTCAGCGTGAAGCTCGTCAGCACGGAACATGTAGCAACTGTGACGCTCCACGCTGTGCGAAGCCACAACCACATTGGCTGTTAAACTTATGCGTCTAATATCTTAATATACTGACATATTTACCAAGGTTAGGGGTTCTTAGGGTGGGGTTTATGGGTACGTCTACGTCTATAAGAGAGGTTCGAGGTTACTATGAGGTTCATTAATCCCCAGGGACCCTTTTTTTTACATGTTTAAAAATATATTGTAAAAATGGAGTGAGGGTCACAGGTACTATCTGAGGATTTGTGAAGTCTCTTTAAAATTTTATGACTACCTTCCACTCTTCATTTTGCGTGCATTAAGGTAGAGGAGGCTGGACTTAAATACGGAGTTACTTTCATTAGATCGCACAATGACAGAAATACATCTACTGTTTTTCTGAAGGTGCTTGAAAAAATGTGGCTATAATGTCCTGAAATCTGAACATCATTAATGAAGATAATGTGAGCAATTAATACAGGTGAGTGTCATTACTCAGGGCTTCTGACTCCATCATTTGCAGTTGAACAATGATGTGAGCCAAAAACTTTACTCATATAATAATATAAAGAAGTGTGTATGTATATCTTTTTTAACGCTAAACCCGTATGGGTTATAAAGCTCCTAGGGTATGGTAGGCATTTGGGTTATCCTAGGTTCTCTACACATATGCTGCTATTTATGATAATCTATGTACTGTATTTGCCTATACCTGAATAAACTTGCTTACTTATTATTTACGCTCGATCCAAGAAAGAAAAGGATAAATCCAACTCTTTGGATCAAGATCCCTTCACCGGCATCAAGGAATCGATCTGACTTAGACCATTAACACCAGAAGATTGGTAATGAACAAGGAAGAATAAAAAAGTCAGCAGAATTTCATATTCAATTTTGGTTGTGAATACAGGGCCATTAAAGTGTTTCAGGTGGCAAGATTATTATTATTATTATAATCAAAAAGAAGCGCTAAGCCACAAGGACTATACAGCGCTGCAGGGCAGGAAGGAAGCAAGGGCATCAGGTGGCAAAAGGGAGATGGATGAGTAATAGGTTACGGATAACAGCGGGGCAAGAACCATTGAGTACTCACGCGTTCTGGATGTGTCCGTCCTCAGTGTATTCCTGAACGATGACGGAGCGGACCTTACTCTGGTCGAAGGCGGTGTCGTGGATGTGGTACTGTGTGGTCACCCAGCCGATGTAGACGTGGGCAGGGTCCTGACCTGGGAAGATCCTGACTCCGTAGAAGTACTCGTTCATCAACTTGAGGCACTCAGGATCAAACAGCTCCTCCTCCCGTAGCTCCTCCGTGGCTCCCTGCAAGCAACATCACATCCCATGTCATCATTACAGCCATGTTAAAGTAATATTACTCATAACATGTCCAGTCCTTTAGCTTCAAAGCAGACCATCCTTCTGATCATTGTCAGTATCTCACTGTGGCTAAGAAAGTTTAACGTGCGATTCTCACATTAGACTTCAAAAGCAATTCTTGTTATTGTTGTGGTTTATGTCACTGACAGCTAATGTTACTGTTGTGGTTTATAAGACCAATGACAGCTTATGTTATTGTTGAATTATCTTAGGATACAGGTAAATGTATCATCATCTTGGGATACACTGGATGCGAGAGGTGTATAGTACCATACACTCTTTATTAAAGACGACCTCGTTTTCAATAGTTTCCATATTGGTCAAAGTATTTTTTATTCCACTTAGGAAAAACAACTGTGTAATAATCCATTCCGAATGTGGTTGAGAACGTAGTTGGGTTAAGCCAGCAAGTGTTTAACCACTGAACGGCTTGTCGTCTGACGACACCATCCTCTTTCCTGACGAACAGATGACTAACACGGCGAAGTCTCGACCATACGTGGGATTAATGTACTACCAAACTATCTCAGTTGATTAAAGTACAATAATAATAATAATAATAATAATAATAATAATAATAATAATAATAATAATAATAATAATAATAATAATAATAATAATAATAATAATAATAATATTAATAATAATAATAATAATAATAACCTGTCTCTCAGGGATGGCTGGAGGTACAAGCTTGGCATCCATGCCCTGCGTGAGCCTGACGGAGGGAGAGCGGTTCTTCCTCGCAGGTCGAGGAACCTCCAGTGTGTTGCCTGAGGGTTCTGGTGTACGACCCTTGCTGCTCCTGCCCCGGTCAGCACTCGCCTCACGCTTCTTACTGAAGAACCTGACGTACATCACAGCACATGTTAACCAATACACGCAACTTAGCCCTCAAAAAATCACAAAAATAACGTGTGTGTGAGCATAAAAAGCAATATTTCAAACGCTTTCGTGATCTCTCACATTATGAAGAAATAACAAAAGTGATCAAGCAAGAGTGTTCTTATATATCAGAGATGCGACCTCTCATGTACAGTCACTGTGATGTTAGCTCTCTCAGTGAGGGGTACTACAGTACATGTCCACTTGTACAGTCACTGCGATGTTAGCTCTAGTACATGTCCACTTGTACAGTCACTGTGATGTTAGCTCTAGTACATGTCCACTTGTACAGTCACTGTGATGTTAGCTCTCTCAGTGAGGGGTACTACAGTACATGTCCACTTGTACAGTCACTGTGGTGTTAGCTCTCTCAGTGAGGGGTACTACAGTACATGTCCACTTGTACAGTCACTGTGATGTTAGCTCTCTTAGTGAGGGGTACTACAGTACATTTCCACTTGTACAGTCACTGTGGTGTTAGCTCTCTCAGTGAGGGGTACTACAGTACATGTCCACTTGTACAGTCACTGTGATGTTAGCTCTCTTTAGTGAGGGGTACTACAGTACATTTTCCACTTGTACAGTCACTGTGGTGTTAGCTCTCTCAGTGAGGGGTACTACAGTACATGTCCACTTGTACAGTCACTGTGGTGTTAGCTCTCTCAATGAGGGGTACTGCAGTACATGTCCACTTGTACAGTCACTGCGGTGTTAGCTCTCTCAGTGAGGGGTACTACAGTACATGTCCACTTGTACAGTCACTGTGGTGTTAGCTCTCTCAAGAGGGGTACTCAGTACATGTCCACTTGTACAGTCACTGGGTGTTAGCTCTCTCAGTGAGGGGTACTACAGTACATGTCCACTTGTACAGTCACTGTGATGTTACTCTCTCAGCGAGGGGTACTACAGTACATGTCCACTTGTACAGTCACTGTGATGTTAGCTCTCTCAGTGAGGGGTACTACAGTACATGTCCACTTGTACAGTCACTGTGGTGTTAGCTCTCTCAGTGAGGGGTACTACAGTACATGTCCACTTGTACAGTCACTGTGATGTTAGCTCTCTCAGTGAGGGGTACTACAGTACATGTCCACTTGTACAGTCACTGTGATGTTAGCTCTCTCACTGAGGGGTACTACAGTACATGTCCACTTGTACAGTCACTGTGGTGTTAGCTCTCTCAGTGAGGGGTACTACAGTACATGTCCACTTGTACAGTCACTGTGGTGTTAGCTCTCTCAGTGAGGGGTACTACAGTACATGTCCACTTGTACAGTCACTGTGGTGTTAGCTCTCTCAGTGAGGGGTACTACAGTACATGTCCACTTGTACAGTCACTGCGGTGTTAGCTCTCTCAGTGAGGGGTACTACAGTACATGTCCACTTGTACAGTCACTGTGTGTTAGCTCTCTCAGTGAGGGGTACTACAGTACATGTCCACTTGTACAGTCACTGTGATGTTAGCTCTCTCAGCGAGGGGTACTACAGTACATGTCCACTTGTACAGTCACTGTGATGTTAGCTCTCTCAGTGGGGGTACTACAGTACATGTCCACTTGTACAGTCACTGTGATGTTAGCTCTCTGTGAGTGTGGGTCAGTAAGGGTACTACAGTACATGTACAGTCACTGTGGTGTTAGCTCCCCAGTGAGTGGGGTACACAGTACACAGTCACTGTACAGTCACTGTGATGTTAGCTCTCTGTGAGTGTGGGTCAGTAAGGGTACTACAGTACATGTACAGTCACTGTGGTGTTAGCTCACCCAGTGAGTGTGGGTCAGCAGGTGTACTACAGTACATGTACAGTCACTGCGATGTTAGCTCACCCAGTGTGTGTGGGTCAGCAGGTGTACTACAGTACATGTACAGTCACTGCGGTGTTAGCTCACCCAGTGAGTGTGTGTCAGTAGGTGTACTACAGTACATGTAGGTCACATTCTGATTTACCACTCCATGGTGTTATTATTATTTTTTACTCACTCCATAACGTGAGTGTCAAAAAGGGTTGAATACATTTAAGTTTGATAAAAAAGGTTTATTATTTTACTATTCTCTATAATCTTATTTCATATAAGTTGATAATATATTTAATTTTCAAATATTATATATATCAAATATCTATTTATATTATATATATATATATATATATATATATATATATATATATATATATATATATAATATATATATATATATATATATATATATAATATAATATATATATATATATATATATATATATATATATAATATATATATATATATATATATATATATATATATAAAAGTTAGCATATGAGAAGTTTTTACAAAGTAGAAGTGATGCAAGGAGGGAAGAGTATATGGAGAAAAGAGAGAGGTTAAGAGAGTGGTGAAGCAATGTAAAAAGAGAGCAAATGAGAGAGTGGGTGAGATGTTATCAACAAATTTTGTTGAAAATAAGAAAAAGTTTTGGAGTGAGATTAACAAGTTAAGAAAGCCTAGAGAACAAATGGATTTGTCAGTTAAAAATAGGAGAGGAGAGTTATTAAATGGAGAGTTAGAGGTATTAGGAAGATGGAGGGAATATTTTGAGGAATTGTTAAATGTTGATGAAGATAGGGAAGCTGTGATTTCGTATATAGGGCAAGGAGGAATAACATCTTGTAGGAGTGAGGAAGAGCCAGTTGTGAGTGTGGGGGAAGTTCGTGAGGCAGTAGGTAAAATGAAAGGGGGTAAGGCAGCCGGGATTGATGGGATAAAGATAGAAATGTTAAAAGCAGGTGGGGATATAGTTTTGGAGTGGTTGGTGCAATTATTTAATAAATGCATGGAAGAGGGTAAGGTACCTAGGGATTGGCAGAGAGCATGCATAGTTCCTATGTATAAAGGCAAAGGGGACAAAAGAGAGTGCAAAAATTATAGGGGGATAAGTCTGTTGAGTATACCTGGTAAAGTGTATGGTAGAGTTATTATTGAAAGAATTAAGAGTAAGACGGAGAATAGGATAGCAGATGAACAAGGAGGCTTTAGGAAAGGTAGGGGGTGTGTGGACCAGGTGTTTACAGTGAAACATATAAGTGAACAGCATTTAGATAAGGCTAAAGAGGTCTTTGTGGCATTTATGGATTTGGAAAAGGCGTATGACAGGGTGGATGGGGGGGGGGCAATGTGGCAGATGTTGCAGGTGTATGGTGTAGGAGGTAGGTTACTGAAAGCAGTGAAGAGTTTTTACGAGGATAGTGAGGCTCAAGTTAGAGTATGTAGGAAAGAGGGAAATTATTTCCCAGTAAACGTAGGCCTTAGACAAGGATGTGTGATGTCACCGTGGTTGTTTAATATATTTATAGATGGGGTTGTAAGAGAAGTAAATGCGAGGGTCTTGGCAAGAGGTGTGGAGTTAAAAGATAAAGAATCACACATAAAGTGGGAGTTGTCACAGTTGCTCTTTGCTGATGACACGGTGCTCTTGGGAGATTCTGAAGAGAAGTTGCAGAGATTGGTGGTTGAATTTGGTAGGGTGTGCAAAAGAAGAAAATTACAAGTGAATACAGGAAAGAGTAAGGTTATGAGGATAACAAAAAGATTAGGTGATGAAAGATTGGATATCAGATAGGAGGGAGAGAGTATGGAGGAGGTGAATGCATTCAGATATTTGGGAGTGGACGTATCAGCGGATGGGTCTATGAAAGATGAGGTGAATCATAGAATTGATGAGGGGAAAAGGGTGAGTGGTGCAGTTAGGAGTCTGTGGAGACAAAGAACTTTGTCCTTGGAGGCAAAGAGGGGAATGTATGAGAGTATAGTTTTACCAACGCTCTTATATGGGTGTGAAGCATGGGTGATGAATGTTGCAGCGAGAAGGCTGGAGGCAGTGGAGATGTCATGTCTGAGGGCAATGTGTGGTGTGAATATAATGCAGAGAATTCGTAGTTTGGAAGTTAGGAGGAGGTGCGGGATTACCAAAACTGTTGTCCAGAGGGCTGAGGAAGGGTTGTTGAGGTGGTTCGGACATGTAGAGAGAATGGAGCGAAACAGAGTGACTTCAAGAGTGTATCAGTCTGTAGTGGAAGGAAGGCGGGGTAGGGGTCGGCCTAGGAAAGGTTGGAGGGAGGGGGTAAAGGAGGTTTTGTGTGCGAGGGGCTTGGACTTCCAGCAGGCATGCGTGAGCGTTTGATAGGAGTGAATGGAGACAAATGGTTTTTAACACTTGACGTGCTGTTGGAGTGTGAGCAAAGTAACATTTATGAAGGGGTTCAGGGAAACCGGCAGGCCGGACTTGAGTCCTGGAGATGGGAAGTACACTGCCTGCACTCTGAAGGACGGGTGTTAATGTTGCAGTTTAAAAACTGTAGTGTAAAGCACCCTTCTGGCAAGACAGTGATAGAGTGAATGATGGTGAAAGTTTTTCTTTTTCGGGCCACCCTGCCTTGGTGGGAATCGGCTAGTGTGATAATAAAATAAAAAAATATATATATATATATATAACACACACACACGTTATTAGAAACATTTATATTTTAAAATAGTTCACTAAACAGTATAAAATAAATTTAAAAAGTCAAAATATATATACATCATAAATATATTTCTTCACTCTTCAGCAACAGTACGGAACACTCAAAGAAAACATTAAAAAGGGGAATAAGTACACTGCATATGTGAATAAAGAGAATGTTGATGAAGTGGGTGGAGGTTTGGGTGTCGCATCTCCAGAGTAGAGGGAAGAAAGCATAAGTTGCTTGCTGAGTCTACATTAAACAAGCCACTATGTATACTCAAAGAACATGTAAAGCGTATATACATACATGTATACATACGTAATGAACATTTAGAAGAGTGCAGAGCAGCCCTGAACACTGCCACACAGCAGTCCTTCAATGGGAGTATATAAATGTATAATGCCACATCAAACTGTCAGAACGATATGGAAAAGAAACGAAGTGCCAGGGGCCCGGGACTGGAGCCCAGCAGAGCCCCGGAGCTGGAAGGCAGCAGGGACCTGGGACTAAGGTCAGCAAGGCCCCGTGACTAAAATTCAGCAGGGACCCAAAATTAGAATCCAGCAGAGGTTTAGGACTGGAAGCCAGTAGAGCCACCCTAGACTAGAGATCAGCAGGTCCCAGAAGCTGGAAGCAAGCAGGGACCCATGAGATGGAAGCAAGACCCAGGACTAGACGCAAGCCGGGCCCCGGAACTGGAACCTAGCAGATACCCAGAGCTGGAAGCCTGCAGGGACTAGGAACTGGAACCTAGCAGGTACTCAGAACTAGAAGCCTGCAGAGACTAGGGACTGGAAGCCAACAGCTACCCAGAGCTGGAAGCCTGCAGAGACTATGGACTGGAAGCCAGCAGCTACCCCGAGTTGGAAGGCTGTAGGAGGCTGCCATCCACACTTCACTCACCATATCTCCCACTCAGTGCCTCAGCCACTCCCAATGCATGAATGATTATTCCTTAAGATACGCTTCAATTACTGCTATAACATTTAACTAAGATATATTACACACTGCAGTGGCATGCATTCATAAAAGGCAATGCTTTATAAACAATACTCCATTCGAAAAGAAAAATAAATCTTTGGTTAACACATTATGTAATTTTATCCATCATTCTGCACTTTCCTCATTTAGGTTTCAGTGAATTTGCAATTGAAACTTGTTAAGAATGTATCATCACCTGATAATCTTTCACTGGAACACGCAACAGTGGTTAACGCACTGGCCTGGGAGTTTCAGGACTCACTACCATGGGTAGTGATTTATTATCCTCAGTACACTTGCTTAATCGGCATGAAACAGTAATAATGGTAGAATTACCGATAAAATGTTAGGTAAAAGAACACAGATGCAATTAATGTGACATTTTACTGTGGTAACGTTTTGCTCTCCAGGAGCTTTGACAAAGCTCCTAGAGAGCAAAATGTTGCCACAATAAAATTCCACATTAGTTGCATCTGTGTCCTCTTACCTAACATTAAACAAAGTCCCCATGAAGAAATTCTGAGCAGGAACAGAATACCTTTCACTCCCCTCCCCTCGACATTTGCCAACCCTTCAAGGCTGTTTTGTTACGTGAATCAGTAAGAACAAATAAGTACCAATTTTCACATTTCACCTTCATCAAAAAGGTTTCCAGTGTCATTTGCTTACCCAAGCAACATTTTCACGACACTCCGCTCATGAGATGCAATAAATATGGTTAACAATAAAGTAATTTTTTGGATTAAAGAGAGTTTGGAGGTGTCTGTACAGCAGGAACAATAGTGAGGCGACCTCTGGTGTGCGCCAGTACGGAAGAATGTTTGCTTTCGACACGGTAAACAATTACATATAAGCCAAAGACACTTGAATAGCAAGCTGTGGTGGCAGGCGTGATCATAGTGTCAAAGACTCTGTGCTGCTAGGTGCCTAAAACTAGTTGCTGCTAGGTGTCCAAGTCCCTGACAGCCGCTAGGAGTCTCAAACTCTGTGCTGCAAGGTGCCTTAGACTCTAGGTTGTGCTAGGTGCTTCAGAGTCTGGACGCTGTTACTATAGTCCCTCAGACTCTGGGTACTGCAAGGTGCCTAACACTGGCAGCTGCTAGGTGTCTCAGACTCTGGGTACTGCAAGGTACCTAACACTTGGCAGCTGCTAGGTGCCTCAGACTCTGGGTGTTGCTAAGTACTGCAGATTCTAGATGCTGATAGGTGTCTCAGAAAGTGGGAGCTGCTGACCCAGGCTCCGGGGGTAATGCCACTGGTCGCCCCGGGCAGCGCCTGGCTGATGCAGAAGTGTGGAATATATATACGTGCTTTGACATGAGAAGGAGAGGCATGAGTACCTGGCAGCCATGACGGCGGTCACGGCAGTGTGGAACTGTCTGCTCAGTCCAGCCGGCGGAGGGAACACAAGGTCAGTGAGGGATCCAACGCCACCCCTGCCCACCCTAGTAAGCCAAAATGTTAAATCTTGTCCCCTTGAGTAGGCAACATGCAACAACAATCCATATTTCCAGTATATCACGTGAGAAGGAAGCGTTAAGAAGTTGACAGCAGCCCCACCGGTGCTCTCGTCTGCGGGGTTACCACTCTGTAAGAACACACTCACCTGCTCTTGAACCTCAGGCGTCGCTCCGTCAGGTCCTCTCGTATCAGGTCCATGCTTGCAAGAGAGACACTCAGTTGCAGCAGTGTATAGTTCTATGTTAAACCCGCTGCACCTCAGGCTTAAAACGAACACACATGATTTCCATAATACATTTGATGGGGGAGGAGGGAGGGAGTATTGAATGTATTGTGGAGATCCATAAGAGAAATTTGCAATCACTGGGAAGATATTAACACTACTGAATTATACAGTGCCTTACAAGAGTTAGTGATGCTAAAAGCTCTGACACTAGTTGATGAGGGATATGCATGTTTACAGGTGGAACGTGTGACGCAAGATTGAATCCTGGTGAGGCTAGAGTCGTCACTCTCTCCACTCCGTCACCTTCACCTGGGTTCACTCACCTGAATGGTGACTTGCCACGCTTTTTTCTTTCCGCAGGTTCCGGCGTGGCCTCCTGTGTCTCCCCTGTCACCTCTGTAGACATTGTACCTGAAGAACACACACACACACACCTGAGTTATTGGGAAAGGAGGTTTTGTGGGCGAGGGGCTTGGGCTTCCAGGAAGCGTGCGTGAGCGTGTTAGATAGGAGTGAATGGAGACGAATGGTATTTGCGGACCTGACGAGCTCTTGGAGTGTGAGCAGGACTAATATGTCGAAGAAAAACTTAACACACACAGTATAATAGAGCTGAGTAAAAGTAAAGGACTATAACATTTCTCTATAACTGTTATACTACACTATAAGTGACACTACACTATAACAGTGACACTACACCATAACAGTGACACTACACTATAAGTGACATTACACTATAACAGTGATACTACGCTATAAGTGACATTACACTATAACAGTGACACTACGCTATAACAGTGACATTACACTATAACAGTGACACTACACTATAACAGTGACATTACACTATAACAGTGGCACTACGCTATAATAGTGACATTACACTATAACAGTGACACTACGCTATAACAGTGACATTACACTATAACAGTGGCACTACGCTATAATAGTGACATTACACTATAACAGTGACACTACGCTATAACAGTGACATTACACTATAACAGTGGCACTACGCTATAATAGTGACATTACACTATAACAGTGACACTACGCTATAACAGTGACATTACACTATAACAGTGACACTATACTATAACAGTGACATTACACTATAAGAGCGACATCACACTATAACAGTTACATGACATTATAAGCGATATTACACTATAACAGTGACACTACACTACAACAGTGACATCACACTATAACAGTGACACTACACTATACCAGTGACACTACACTAAAAGTGACACTACATTATAACAGTGACACTACACTATAAGTGACACTACATTAAAACAGTGTCACTACATTATTACAGTGACACTACATTATAACAGTGACACTACACTATAAGTGACACTACACTACAACAGTGAGACAACATTAGGATACAACACTGAAACAGTGATATTACACTGTCACCACACTGAGGATGCACACTCAGAATGATGCTACACTCTCTCAGAATAGTGCTACACTCTCTCAGAATAGTGCTACACTCTCAGAATAAAGCTACACTCCCTCAGAATAATGCTACACTCTCTCAGTATAATTCTACACTCAGAATAAAGCTACACTCCCTCAGAATAATGCTACACTCTCTCAGAATAATGCTATACTCTCTCAGAATAGTGCTACACTCTCAGAATAAAGCTACACTCCCTCAGAATAATGCTACACTCTCTCAGTATAATTCTACAGTCTCAGAATAAAGCTACACTCCCTCAGAATAATGCTACACTCTCTCAGAATAATGCTACACTCTCTCAGAATAGTGCTACACTCTCAGAATAAAGCTACACTCCCTCAGAATAATGCTACACTCTCTCAGTATAATTCTACAGTCTCAGAATAAAGCTACACTCCCTCAGAATAATGCTACACTCCCTCAGAATAATGCTACACTCTCTCAGAATAATGCTATACTCTCTCAGAATAATGCTACACTCTCTCAGAATAATGCTACACTCTCAGAATAATGCTACACTCTCTCAGAATAATGCTATACTCTCTCAGAATGATGATACACTCTCAGAATAATGCTACACTCTCTCAGAATAATGCTGCACTCTCTCAGAGTAATGCTACACTTCAGAATAATGCTACACTCTCAGAATAATGCTACACTCTCAGAATAAAGCTACACTCTCAGAATAATGCTACACACTCTCGGAATAATGCTACACTCTCTCAGAATAATGCTACACTCTTTCAGAATAATGCTACACTCTCTCAGAATAATGCTACACTCTCAGAATAATGCTACACTCTTTCAGAATAATGCTACACTCTCTCAGAATAATGCTACACTCTCTCAGAATGATGCTACACTCTCTCAGAATAATGCTACACTCTCAGAATAATGCTACACTCTTTCAGAATAATGCTACACTCTCTCAGAATAATGCTACACTCTCTCAGAATGATGCTACACTTTCTCAGAATAATGCTACACTCTCAGAATAATGCTACACTCTCAGAATAATGCTACATTCTCTCGAAATAATGCTACACTCCCTCAGAATGATGCTACACTCTCAGAATAACGCTACACTCTCAGAATGCTGCCATACTCTCAGAATAATGCTACACTCTCAGAATGATGCTACGCTCTCTCAGAATGATGCTACACTCAGAATAATGCTACACTCTCTCAGAATGATGCTACACTCTCAGAATGATGGTACACACACTCGAGGTACACTTGCATCAAGGATGGTTTTTATATCAAGGATGGGTTTATCTAAAGGATAGGCCTATATCAAGGATGGATTTATCTAAAGGATGGGTTTATATCAAGGATGGATTTATCTAAAAGATAGGCCTATATCAAGGATGGATTTATCTAAAGGATAGGCCTATATCAAGGATGGATTTATCTAAAGGATAGGCCTATATCAAGGATGGATTTATCTAAAGGATGGGCTTATATCAAGGATGGATTTATCTAAAGGATGGGCTTATATCAAGGATGGATTTATCTAAAGGATGGGCTTATATCAAGGATGGATTTTCTCGCTACAGCTACTAGTCTTATATAGCAACACAAATAATTTTGTCCCTATTAATGAATCTCCTCCTAAGTTTATATTCCTATAATGTCAAGCTGGAAAGGAAAATGCAAGTTGCATAATAATTTGCTATGTGCGTTCTCTATTGCTAGGATATTCCAGATATGGGAAATGAATGTTGAGAACACACGTCTTGCTAGAGCGCTTACCAGGGTCAGTGGAAGGCTTGTCTGCCGGGGCGCTCTTCCTAGCCAGGTTTTCGTCAGCTTCAACACCTTCCTCATTGCTGTAGTGAAGCTCTGTAAGGAACCAACACACCTTGATATTATTTTAGGGTTTAACACACGGGCTGCCTCCCGCCAGCACAGCGGTGTACCAAGAAAGGAAGTTCCGTCACCAGAAGGTCAATTTTTGTTCACAGATTGGATGTAACAGTCAATAAGCTCTTTTCCAGTGAGTAGGTATATTGTGAATGAGCTTGAGTTTTGGTAGGTTACTTTGTTCTTAAGAACCTCTGGTTTACTGCAGGACAGAGGAGAGTGACTCAAGTGGCTTACTATTTAACTGCAATTAGCAATAATGTCTTATATTACTCTCTGCTGCTCCAGAATACGATCATTAATAAGAAGTTGAAGTGTGTGTGTGTGTGTGTGTGTGTGTGTGTGTGTGTGTAACTCTCACAATGGTAGTGTTAGTTTCGCTATTTTTAAGTATGTTTAATATTAACGTTTTAAAACTATTGGTTGGTATCTTCCACTTTTTTTCACCGATACCGATACTTTGGCGTACCCCTAATTATATATATATATATATAATATATAAAATATATATATATATATATATATTTATATATATATATATATATATATATATATATATATATTTTTTTTTTTTTTTTTCAACAAGTCGGCCGTCTCCCACCGAGGCAGGGTGACCCAAAAAAGAAAGAAAATCCCCAAAAAGAAAATACTTTCATCATCATTCAACACTTTCACCACACCCGCACATTATCACTGTTTTTGCAGAGGTGCTCAGAATACAACAGTCTAGAAGCATACACATATAAAGATACACAACATATCCCTCCAAACTGCCAATATCCCAAACCCCTCCTTTAAAGTGCAGGCATTGTACTTCCATTTCCAGGACTCAAGTCCGACTATATGAAAATAACCGGTTTCCCTGAATCCCTTCACTAAATATTACCCTGCTCACACTCCAACAGATCGTCAGGTCCCAAGTACCATTCGTCTCCATTCACTCCTATCTAACACGCTCACGCACGCTTGCTGGAAGTCCAAGCCCCTTACCCACAAAACCTCCTTTACCCCCTCTCTCCAACCCTTTCGAGGACGACCCCTACCCCGCCTTCCTTCCCCTATAGATTTATATGCTTTCCATGTCATTCTACTTTGATCCATTCTCTCTAAATGACCAAACCACCTCAACAACCCCTCTTCTGCCCTCTGACTAATACTTTTATTAACTCCACACCTTCTCCTAATTTCCACACTCCGAATTTTCTGCATAATATTTACACCACACATTGCCCTTAAACAGGACATCTCCACTGCCTCCAACCGTCTCTCTCGCTGCTGCATTTACCACCCAAGCTTCACACCCATATAAGAGTGTTGGTACTACTATACTTTCATACATTCCCTTCTTTGCCTCCATAGATAACGTTTTTTGACTCCACATATACCTCAACGCACCACTCACCTTTTTTCCCTCATCAATTCTATGATTAACCTCATCCTTCATAAATCCATCCCGCCGACACGTCAACTCCCAAGTATCTGAAAACATTCACTTCTTCCATACTCCCTCCTCCCCAATTTGATATCCAATTTTTCTTTATCTAAATCATTTGACACCCTCATCACCTTACTCTTTTCTATGTTCACTTTCAACTTTCTACCTTTACACACATTCCCAAACTCATCCACTAACCTTTGCAATTTTTCTTTAGAATCTCCCATAAGCACAGTATCATCAGCAAAAAGTAACTGTGTCAATTCCCATTTTGAATTTGATTCCCCATAATTTAATCCCACCCCTCTCCCAAACACCCTAGCATTTACTTCCTTAACAACCCCATCTATAAATATATTAAACAACCATGGTGACATTACACACCCTGTCTAAGACCTACTTTTACCGGGAAATAGTCTCCCTCTTCTTCTACACACCCTAACCTGAGCCTCACTATCTTCATAAAAACTCTTTACAGCATTTAATAACTTACCACCTATTCCATATACTTGCAAACATCTGCCACATTGCTCCTCTATCCACTCTATCATATGCCTTTTCTAAATCCATAAATGCAATAAAAACTTCCCTACCTTTATCTAAATACTGTTCACATATATGCTTCAATGTAAACACTTGATCTACACATCCCCTACCCACTCTGAAACCTCCTTGCTCATCCGCAATCCTACATTCTGTCTTACCTCTAATTCTTTCAATTATAACCCTACCGTACACTTTTCCTGGTATACTCAGTAAGCTTATTCCTCTATAATTTTTACAGTCTCTTTTGTCCCCTTTCCCTTTATATAAAGGGACTATACATGCTCTCCGCCAATCCTAGGTACCTTCCCCTCTTTCATACATTTATGAACAAAAGTACCAACCACTCCAACACTATATCCCCCCCTGCTTTTAACATTTCTGTCATGATCCCATCAGTACCAGCTGCTTTACCCCCTTTCATTTTACGTAATGCCTCACGTACCTCCCCCACACTTACATTCTGCTCTTCTTCACTCCTAAAAGATGGTATACCTCCCTGACCAGTGCATGAAATTACTGCCTCTGTTTCTTCCTTAACATTTAAAAGTTCCTCAAAATATTCTCGCCATCTACCTAATACCTCCATCTCCCCATCTACTAACTCCCCTACTCTGTTTTTAACTGACAAATCCATATTTTCCCTTGGCTTTCTTAACTTGTTTAACTCACTCCAAAATTTTTTCTTATTTTCATTAAAATTTCTTGACAGTGCCTCTCCCACTCTATCATCTGCTCTCCTTTTGCACTCTCTCACCACTCTCTTTACCTTTCTTTTACTCTCCATATATTCTGCTCTTCTTATAACACTTCTGCTTTGTAAAAACCTCTCATAAGCTACCTTTTTCTCTTTTATCACACCCTTTACTTCATCATTCACCAATCACTCCTCTTTCCTCCTGCACCCACCCTCCTATAACCACAAACTTCTGCCCCACATTCTAATACTGCATTTTTAAAACTATTCCAACCCTCTTCAACCCCCCCATTACTCATCTTTGCACTATCCCACCTTTCTGCCAATAGTCGCTTATATCTCGCCCGAACTTCCTCCTCCCTTAGTTTATACACTTTCACCTCCCTCTTACTTGTTGTTGCCACCTTCCTCTTTTCCCATCTACCTCTTACTCTAACTGTAGCTACAACTAAATAATGATCCGATATATCAGTTGCCCCTCTATAAACATGTACATCCTGGAGCCTACCCATCAACCTTTTATCCACCAATACATAATCTAATAAACTACTTTCATTACGTGCTACATCATACCTTGTATATTTATTTATCCTCTTTTTCATAAAATATGTATTACTTATTACCAAATTTCTTTCTACACATAGCTCAATTAAAGGCTCCCCATTTACATTTACCCCTGGCACCCCAAATTTACCTACTACTCCCTCCATAACATTTTTACCCACTTTAGCATTGAAATCCCCAACCACCATTACTCTCACACTTGATTCAAAACTCCCACGCATTCACTCAACATTTCCCAAAATCTCTCTCTCTCCTCTACACTTCTCTCTTCTCCAGGTGCATACACGCTTATTATAACCCACTTTTCACATCCAATCTTTATTTTACTCCACATAATCCTTGAATTAATACATTTATAGTCCCTCTTTTCCTGCCATAGCTTATCCTTCAACATTATTGCTACTCCTTCTTTAGCTCTAACTCTATTTGAAACCCCTGACCTAATCCCATTTATTCCTCTCCATTGAAACTCTCCCACCCCCTTCAGCTTTGTTTCACTTAAAGCCAGGACATCCAGCTTCTTCTCATTCATAACATCCACAATCATCTCTTTCTTATCATCTGCACAACATCCACGCACATTCAGACTTCCCACTTTGACAATTTCTTCTTCTTATTCTTTTTAGTAATCTTTACAGGAAAAGGGGTTACTAGCCCATTGTTCCCGGCATTTTAGTTGACTTTTACAACACGCATGGCTTACGGAGGAAAGATTCTTATTCCACTTCCCCATGGATATAAAAGGAAAATTAATAAGACCAAGAACTATTAAGATAAAATCAAAGAAAACTCAGATGAGTGTGTATGAATAAATGTGTATATGTATGTGTAGTGTGACCTAAGTGTAAGTAGAAGTAGCAAGACATGCCTGTAATCTTGCATATTTATGAGACAGACAAAAGACATCAGCAATCCTACCATCATGTAAAACAATTACAGGCTTTCGTTTTACACTCACTTGGCAGGACGGTAGTACCTCCCTGGGTATATATTAATATTAGGGGAAGTGAAACAGAATTCTTCCTCCGTAAACCATCCGTGTATAAAAACTTTGACTTTTCTTTTTAGGTCACCCTGCCTCTGTAGGATATCGGTGGATATCGGTAAACGCACCTTTGATATCAGAGAGTGAGAAGCCTGTGTCAACAAGGGAGCTCTGGAAGGCTATGGAGGGTTGCACGTCCCCGTGCTGGATCCTGTGTTGACGGTTTCTCACTTCCTGCCAGCGAGCTGCCTTTTCCTCCTCACTGTGTGTCACGGAGAGAGATAGTGTTATTACCAAGGACAGAGTTGGTGTCCTCATTGTCATGGGGAAAAATAGTCTCATAATCAAGAGCAGCGTTGTTGTCCTCACTGTCATGGGGAAAGATAGTGTCATTATCAAGAGCAGCGTTGTTGTCCTCACTGTCATGGGGAAAGACAGTGTCATTATCAAGGGTAGTTGTTGTCCTCACTGTCATGGGGAAAGACAGTGTCATTATCAAGGGCAGAGTTGTCCTCACTGTCATGGGGAAAGATAGTGTCATTATCAAGAGCAGCGTTGTTGTCCTCACTGTCATGGGGAAAGACATTGTCATTATCAAGGGCAGTTGTTGTCCTCACTGTCATGGGGAAAGACATTGTCATTATCAAGGGCAGAGTTGTTGTCCTCACAAGCAAGGGGATAGATCATGTCAGTATTACTATGATCCAGAAATTATATCACCATTATCAAGACTTAAATACTTATATCATCATAAATGGACCATTGGTTGTTGTGCAACTCCTCGAAATTCTCTAAAATTGTTATTTAAGATATATTATTTAGGTTTGGTTGGTTATATTATCTTTAAGTCATGAGAAGCATTTCTGAGTGAATATGGCCACTAGAACCGCACACGAAAACTTGAACATAGTAAGTGTGATGCTATATGTACGTATGTTTATAATATCGGGGAAAACAGATAATTTATTTTGGCTTATTATTTCGTATGCCTTTTAAATTTATTATTTAAATGAGTAAATAAGTCAATTATAAATCTTAGGACGACGGAACTTTCACTTTTCAATCAACTTTCTCAATAGAAATTAATTTCACTCACTCTATGAAGACCTGATCACAGACCACAGGCAGCGACACCCTCAGGAACTCCCAGTTGGCTTTCTCGCATTGCTCAAACATCTTGGAGGCGATCTTGAGACAGGGAGGCGTCTCCGAGCCTGCTGGGATGCGTGTCACGTCAATGGTTGAGTCGGGTAAGTCTTCATTGTTTTCGAAGATGGGCTGGTCCTTCGTGTACCAGAAGGTCACTGGTCGCTCCATATTCTGCAATATTTACACATACGTTTTGCATTTTGTGCACAAGGTTGGAAAAAAAACATACAGACCTATAAATAGCTTTGTTTATTTTTCTATGAGGAATACCGTGGCTGCAGCAATACTGTGGCTACAGCAATATCGTGGCTACAGCAATATCGTGGCGTGGCTACAGCAATATCGAGGCTACAGCAATATCGTGGCTACAGCAATATCGTGGCTACAGCAATATCGTGGCTACAACAATATCATGGCTGCACCAATATATGTGGGTTGCACAAATCTCATTGCAATAATTGTCAATAAGGCTGCAACAATAATGGCTGCAACAATATCGTAGGGTGCAACAATACCATGGCAGCAAAACAATACCATGGATGTAACAATACGATGGCTGCAACAATACCATGGATGAAACAATACCGTGGCTGCAACAATATAGTGATGCAACAATACCGTGGCTGCAGCAATATCATGGTTGTAACAATACCATGGCTGCAACAATACCATGGTTGTAACAATACCATGGCTGCAACAATACCATGGTTGTAACAATACCATGGCTGCAACAATACCATGGTTGTAACAATACCATGGCTGCAACAATACCATGGTTGTAACAATACCATGGCTGCAACAATACCATGGTTGTAACAATACCATGGCTGCAACAATACCATGGTTGTAACAATACCATGGCTGCAACAATACCATGGTTGTAACAATACCATGGCTGCAACAATACCATGGTGTAAAAAATACCATGGCTGCAACAATACCATGGTTGTAACAATACCATGGCTGCAACAATACCATGGATGTAACAATACCATGGCTGCAACAATACCATGGTTGTAACAATACCATGGCTGCAACCTTACCATGGTTGTAATAATGCAATGGCAGTAACAATACCCATGTTGTAACAAAAACCATGCAGCAACAATACCATGGTTATGTAGCAACAATACCATGGCTGAAACAATACCATGGCTGTAAACAATACCATGGCTGCAACAATATCATGGCAGCAACAATACCATGGCTGCAACAATACCATGGCAGCAACAATACCATGGCTGCAACAATATCATGGCTGTAACAATACCATGGCTGTAACAATACCAAGGCTGCACCAATACCATGGTTGTAACAATACCATGGCAGCAACAATACCATGGTAACAATATAGTGACTGAAACAATACCGTGGCTGCAGCAATATCGTGGTTGTAACAATACCATGGTTGCAACAATACCATGGTTGTAACAATACCATGGCTGCACCAATACCATGGTTGTAACAATACCATGGCTGCAACAATACCATGATTGTAACAATACCATGGCTGCAACAGTACCATGGTTGTAACAATACCATGGCTGCAACAATACCGCGGTTGTAACAATACCATGGCTGCAACAATACCATGGTTGTAACAATACCATGGCTGCAACAATACCATGGTTGTAACAATACCATGGCTGCAACAATACCATGGTTGTAACAATACCATGGCTGCAACAATACCATGGTTGTAAACAATACCATGGCTTTTCAACAATACCATGGTTGTAACAATACCATGGCTGCAACAATACCATGGTTGTAATAATACCATGGCAGTAACAATACCATGGTTGTAACAATACCATGGCAGCAACAATACCATGGTTGTAACAATACCATGGCTGCAACAATACCATGGCTGCAACAGTATCATGGCTGTAACAATACCATGGCTGCACCAATACCATGGTTGTAACAATACCATGGCAGCAACAATACCATGGTTGTAACAATATAGTGACTGCAACAATACCGTGGCTGCAGCAATATCGTGGCTGTAACAATACCATGGCTGCAACAATATCATGGTTGTAACAATACCATGGCTGCAACAATACCATGGTTGTAACAATACCATGGCTGCAACAATACCATGGTTGTAACAATACCATGGCTGCAACAATACCATGGTTGTAACAATACCATGGCTGCAACAATACCATGGTTGTAACAATACCATGGCTGCAACAATACCATGGTTGTAACAATACCATGGCATCAACAATACCATGGTTGTAATAATACCATGGCAACAACAATAACATTGCTGTAACAATACCATGGGTGAAACAATACCATGGCTGCAACAGTACCATGGTTGTAACAATACCAAGGCTGCACCAATACCATGGTTGTAAACAATACCATGTGCATAACAATACCATGGTTTTAATAATACCATTGGCAACAAACATATAACATGGCTGCAACAATACCATGGGTGTAACAATACCATGGCTGCAACAGTACCATGGCTGTAACAATGCCAAGGCTGCACCAATACCATGGTTGTAACAATACCATGGCATCAACAATACTATGGTTGTAATAATACCATGGAAACAACAATAACATGGCTGCAACAATACCATGGGTGTAACAATACCATGGCTGCAACAGTACCATGGTTGTAACAATGCCAAGGCTGCACCAATACCATGGTTGTAACAATACCATGGCATCAACAATACCATGGTTGTAATAATACCATGGCAACAACAATAACATGGCTGTAACAATACCGTGTCTGCAACAATATCGTGGTTGCAACAATACCGTGTTTGCAACAATATCGTGGCTGCAACAATATCGTGGTTGCAACAATACCGTGTTTGCAACAATATCGTGGCTGCAACAATACCGATCCTGCAACAGACTGCAACTAACCCTCAAAGTAGACATGAAACATCAACTTAGTTTAATCTTTGGCAGTGTAATTTTTTTTTATATGTTTAACAAACTGCGCATCACAATGCTTGAAGAAAATGACAGAACGTATAGTTTATGACGCAGGTAGTAAGTGTACTTACACACATTGTATGAAGCAGGTAGTAAGTGTACTTACACACATTGTATGAAGCAGGTAGTAAGTGTACTTACACACATTGTATGAAGCAGGTAGTAAGTGTACTTACACACATTGTATGAAGCAGGTAGTAAGTGTACTTACACACAGTGTATGACGCAGGTAGTAAGTGTACTTACACACATTGTATGAAGCAGGTAGTAAGTGTACTTACACACATTGTATGAAGCAGGTAGTAAGTGCACTTACACACATTGTATGAAGCAGGTAGTAAGTGTACTTACACACATTGTATGAAGCAGGTAGTAAGTGTACTTACACACAGTGTATGACGCAGGTAGTAAGTGTACTTACACACATTGTATGAAGCAGGTAGTAAGTGTACTTACACAGTGTATGACGCAGGTAGTAAGTGTACTTACACACAGTGTATGAAGTAGGAGGTTATGTGTACTTACAGTGTATGAAGCAGGTTACGTGTACTTACACACGGTGTATGAAGCAGGTAGTATGTGTGCTTACACACGGTGTATGAAGCAGGTAGTGTGTGTACTCACACACGGTGTATGAAGCAGGTAGTAAGTGTACTCACACGCGGTGTATGAAGCAGGTAGTATGTGTACTTACACACGGTATGAAGCAGGTAGTAAGTGTATTCCAACACGGTGTATGAAGCAGGTAGTAAGTGTACTCACACACGGTGTACGAAGCAGGTAGTAAGTGTACTCACACACGGTGTATGAAGCAGGTAGTAAGTGTACTCACACACGGTGTATGAAGCAGGTAGTAAGTGTACTCACACACGGTGTATGAAGCAGGTAGTAAGTGTACTCACACACGGTGTACGAAGCAGGTAGTAAGTGTACTCACACACGGTGTATGAAGCAGGTAGTAAGTGTACTCACACACGGTGTATGAAGCAGGTAGTAAGTGTACTCACACACGGTGTATGAAGCAGGTAGTAAGTGTACTCACACACGGTGTATGAAGCAGGTAGTAAGTGTACTCACACACGGTGTATGAAGCAGGTAGTAAGTGTACTCACACACGGTGTATGAAGCAGGTAGTAAGTGTACTCACACACGGTGTATGAAGCAGGTAGTAAGTGTATTCCAACACGGTGTATGAAGCAGGTAGTAAGTGTACTCACACACGGTGTATGAAGCAGGTAGTAAGTGTACTCACACACGGTGTATGAAGCAGGTAGTAAGTGTACTCACACACGGTGTACGAAGCAGGTAGTAAGTGTACTCACACACGGTGTATGAAGCAGGTAGTAAGTGTACTCACACACGGTGTATGAAGAGGTAGTAAGTGTACTCACACACGGTGTATGAAGCAGGTAGTAAGTGTACTCACACAGGGTGTATGAAGCAGGTAGTAAGTGTACTCACACACGTGTATGAAGCAGGTAGTAAGTGTACTCACACACGGTGAAATGAAGCGGGTAGTAAGTGTACTCACACACGGTGTATGAAGCAGGTAGTAAGTGTACTCACACACGGTGTATGAAGCAGGTAGTAAGTGTACTTACACACAGAATGGCTCATATCCCTCCTGAAGACCGTAAGTGGTAAAGAACTTGAGGTGGTTGATGTCTTGACCGAAGACAAGGTGAGCCTTCTGTCCGATGCCCAGACTGCAGGCGGGGACGAAGGCGTCGCCCTGGACGTCGCTGAAGGCTGTCTCGGACCCACTGGCGTCCATCATCAGTTCTCCGTTAAGGGAGAAACCTAAGGAAAAGCACAGGCTGAATGTCCCCGTCACGTATTCAACTTATCACTTGATATTTCTTCATTGAGAGACCCATAAATACACATGTGGTTTATAATTCTGTATTACATATTCCTATTTATTCTGATTTTTTCATGATAATTTTCGAGTGATAAATATTTTATTATTAATATCAAGCATACACTCTAAGCAGACAAAACTCTAAAGAATCACAAATAAAGGGGCAAGCAGACGAGAGGCTGAAGACACACGTATCACATAACTCACACTAGATCTGCCGCATGCAAAGTGAAAAAACAAAAGCACTTTCCAAAATGCTCAGAAGAGACAAGGGTACATCTTTCTAGTATAACACATTTACAGCTAGAACATACATGCAGTAATTGCACACTAGAAATCTGAAATGCTCTATGCAGTCTCCAGAGACAGAAAGGTTCTATGCCCCCAGAGAGACAGAAAAACTCTATGCTGTCTCCAGAGACAGAAATGCTCTATGCTGTCCCCAGAGACAGAAAAAGCCTATGCTGTCCCCAGATAGAGATAACAAAAGCCTACGCTGTCCCCAGAGACAGACAACAGTGGATAACTAAAGCAAACCTACACATCTGTAACTTTGATAATGCATAACAAACAATACTGAAACCGCAAAATAAGATAGAAATTTAAAAAATTATTGCAGCCTGTTTCTTCAACTTAAAACTCATGGAAAGCATGACGGTCTAGTTTTGTCGAGATTTTACAAAAACAAAACAAAAAAGTTGCCTGAGTGACCAGCCTGTGGTATGTGCCAGCGACAAGGTTTTATTGTCTCGGAATTATATAAAACAGGAAGGTAATATCTCCACGCCTGCTTTTTCCCGTCACACACAGTGAAGGTACCCAGCATGGTGCTACCGTCACAGTGAAGGTATCCAGCACGGTGCTACCGTCACAGTGTTAGTACCCAGCAAGGTGCTACCGTCACAGTGAAGGTATCCAGCATGGTGCTACCGTCACAGTGAAGATATCCAGCATGGTGCTACCGTCACAGTGAAGATATCCAGCATGGTGCTACCGTCACAGTGAAGGTATCCAGCATGGTGCTTCTGTCACAGTGAAGATATCCAACATGGTGCTACCGTCACAGTGCAGGTACCCAGCATGGTGCTACCGTCACAGTGAAAGTATCCAGCATGGTGCTACCGTCACAGTGAACGTATCCAGCATGGTCCTACTGTTACAGTGTAGACAGCACACATGGTGCTACCGTCACAGTGTTAGTACCCAGCAAGGTGCTACCGTCACAGTGAAGGTATCCAGCATGGTGCTACTGTCACAGTGAAGATATCCAGCATGGTGCTACCGTCACAGTGAAGATATCCAGCATGGTGCTACCGTCACAGTGCAGGTACCCAGCATGGTGCTACCGTCACAGTGAAAGTATCCAGCATGGTGTTACCGTCAGTGAACGTATCCAGCATGGTCCTACTGTTACAGTGTAGACAGCACACATGGTGCTACCTTCACAGGCACCACATCATGTGGTGCTATTCAGTGTAGACAGCACACATGGTGCTACCTTCACAGGCACCACATCATGTGGTGCTATTCACAGTGTAGACAGCACACATGGTTCTACCGTCACAGAGAGCACATCATATGGGGCTATTCACAGTGTAGACACCACACAAGGTGCTACCCTCCCTTGACTAATACCGTATTTTACGGCATATGAGGAGCACCCTTTTTCCCACGAAGTCTTGGAAAATTACCCTGCGCCTTATATGTTCAAGGTCAGGGTCAAGGGTAGGCTTTGGGTTACGCTTTAGCGTAAAGTAAGAGGGTAATTTGCCCTTAAATATGATTGCTGATTTACCGTTATGATCGGTAATTTCAGAACGATAAATCAAGTGAAAGAGACCAGGAGTCTGTATGGAGGAAGCAGCACCTCGGTGATAGCTAGAGCAGTGTGTGTGAAGCAGTAAGAACCAGCCCAGGAGATAGTGTTCACGGCCTCGGGCAAGAATCCTTGGCAAGCTGGCCTGGTAAAACTTGCAGATCTTGCCCGAGCACCGACTACCAGCCTACGGCTACATCTAAACTCATCTAATCAGCGCATTCGCTACTTCACCTACGACAGACATCAAGGATCTGAATTCCATCACTCACTGATGGTTCTGTCGAAAATATCAAGGCACACGCCTACCACGTCTCCAACTTGCCACTTGTGACCGTAGCTTTCCAAACCGCCCCCGTGACACTTCTCTTCCTGTGTCACGTAGAAAATATTAGCAACATGGCAAACACGGACACTTTGCAACGAGACATTAGGGATAAAAAAATCAGAGAAACAAACTACAGCAAACGTCTCGTAATTACTGGTACTCGTTTACTTTCGAGTTTGTAATCAGTGAGGACTATACACGTTCTTGCAATGCTTTTATTATGAGTCGTGTGCTGCACTTTATGACGTGACAGTAACATGGATGTGAAACATAGCACTGGGTTAGAAGGCAAGATTTATGAGGCTCCACAGTTGCCGATGCACATGTGATGCAGAGCTGTCTAGAATATAAACACTTTAGCTATTAGTGGAAAGCTCCATATATATGACACACTGGTGTATCCACAAACCTCTCCTTACACCACGGATGTATATGTTTATATTTTTTACACAAATATATCTTTGTATACATGTTCATGAGTGTATGAGAGAAGGTGATTTGTTGGTTGTGATGGGTGTAATATTTGTGTGTGTGAGGGATTACCAAGAGGGTGGCCAGGGGTGTGTGTGTGTGTGTGGTATCATTTTACAAATGATGTAATACCGAAGAGTTGAAGAGTACAACATGGGCAACGTAAGGAATTATTATTGACAAAACGTTTTGCCTGTGCCGCAGGCTTCATCAATCGAAACCAGAGACATCAGCACTGGTGGAAGACAAAGTGGCGAGGTAGTTGATGTAATCAGTCTATAACCCTTGGAGCAAGATGGTAAGTCTCTTAACCTAATGCAGAAGCAAATGGCCAGAAGCTTATATACTGGAAGATGAGGTGTAGCAGCTTGGAGATGAGATCACAGGTGAACTGGGACCCTTAGTGTAAGTAGGTCATGCTAGACAGCTGTTAACAATAAAGTTCTTGAAGACATTCCTGGTACCAAGAAACCATGGTACTAAGTACTTGTCTGACACTGCAGCACCATGGTACCTAGTACTTATGACACTGCAGCACCATGGTACCAAGTACTTGTCTGACACTGCAGCACCATGGTACCTAGTACTTATGACACTGCAGCACCATGGTACCAAGTACTTGTCTGACACTGCAGCACCATGGTACCAAGTACTTGTCTGACACTGCAGCACCATGGTACCAAGTACTTGTCTGACACTGCAGCACCATGGTACCAAGTACTTGTCTGACTGCAGCACCATGGTACCAAGTACTTGTCTGACACTGCAACACCATAGTACTAAGTACTTGTCTGTCACCACAACACCATGGTTTCTTCAGCAATTCTACTGCTAACAACTCTATGGCATGACCTACTTCCACTAGTGGGTTAAGCTTACCAGTGATCTCATCTCCAAGCTGGTCACTTGCTTCTGCATTAGGGTGACTTAGCATCTTGCATCAAGATTGATGGAATGATTACGTCAACTGCCTCACCACTTTGTCTTCCACCAGTGCTAATGTCTATGTAATCAACTAATGGAGCCTGCAGCACAGGCCCAACGTTTTGTCAATAGCGATTCCTAATACTGCCCGTGTGTGTGGGGGGGGGAGGAGAAGTAAGAAAGAGGGAGGCCAAGATTGTGGTGTGAGACAATGAGAGAGGGTGGACAAGATTGTGTATTGTGAGAGAGAGGATGGCCATCACTGTGTGGTGTGAGACAGTGAAAGAGGGTGGCTAGGGTTGTGTGGTGACAGTAATAGAGAGGGTGGTCATTATTGTGTGGTGACAAAATAGTGATAAAGAGGGTGGCCAGCATTGTGTGGTGTGGGACAGTGAAAGAGGGTGGTCGGGGTTGTGTGGTGACAGCGTTAGAGAGGGTGGCCATTATTGTGTGGTGACAAATAGTGATAAAGAGGGTGGCCAGCATTGTGTAATGTGAGACAGTGAAAAGAGGGTGGCCAGGGTTGTGTGGTGACAGTGATAGAGAGGGTGGCCATTATTGTGAAGTGACAAATAGTGATAAAGAGGGTGGCCAGCATTGTGTGGTGAGAGACAATAAGAGAGGGTGGCCAGAGTTGTGAGGTAACAGTGACAGAGAGGGTGGCCAGAGTTGTGAGGTAACAGTGACAGAGAGGGTGGCCAGTTGTGTAGTAACAGTGACAGAGAGGGTGGCCAGGGTTGTGGTAACAGTGACAGATAGGGTGGCCAGGGTTGTGTGGTAACAGTAAGAGAGAGGGTGGCCAGGCACATGAAGCACTTACTGATGGTTTTATCATGCAGGTCCATCATTACACCCACAACATCGCCCGGCTGGGCACATCGTCCGTATTGTTCCATCACGCCCATATGATGCTTCATGTGCTTTAAAGACAGGGGGAGTTACTGGGTCAAGAACGATCATACTGACTTACTCTAATTCATCCTCTTGCCTTCGTCACTCTCACAGCTGAAGTTCAACCACTAACTCACTCCACCACTCTCACACACAAACGAGCTAGTGCCATATACATACACATGTCATAAGTTTCAACTTGCTTATTTTTCACAGCATCGAGAGTTGTAAGAAGTATAACAGATGCTACGTGTTTGCCACCAACATGCATGGTTTGTACAATCTCTCTCTCAAGAGACGCAAGGAAACCTGTAATAACCCTGTGTATGAGGTTCTTTTTTGAGGAAACGTTTCGCCAGCCAGTGGCTTCTTGATACAGGGATTTCCTCAACGCTTGCCTAACATACAGGCATGTCCTGCTTACACTAGTGGATTTGTCCAATGGTGACTCCGTCTCCACCTGCTTCTACTCACCTGACTGCAGTATAAAAGCCACTTCTCTCCAGGTCTCCGCACATATACTCTACTTTTCTCAGGATTAATGGACTGAACATATCGACTCCAATCTAAGGAACTGAATACTTCAAACTCCTCCTCCACATCTTCCACTGTTAATCTCTGTATTAGACTGAAGAAGCCATTGGCTGGTGAAATATTTCCTCAGTAAAGTTTACACTTTGAAGTGTGCAACTATTAACTTGCTAATTTGGTCAATATTTACTTTTGCTGCTCAGAAAATAAGGCTTATTATGTAAATTCCCCAACATAAAGTGCAATGAAGACAATTATGTTTCTTGCCTATGTAAAGAAACTTTTTTTTTTTTTTGGTAAAGGTATAAAATCCCAACCTAATAAACCCTAATTTATTTAAATTAGGATTTATTAGGTTGAAATTTTAGTCAAATACTAGGTTATGGTTAGGCTTGGCCTAGTTAGGTTAATTATTTTTCTTGATTATCCCAAAAAACTATTTCCCATATGTAGATGTCACTTTGCAAAATCTTACTTTACCCGCTCAGCTGTCCTCATTTGGTATACCTTTGATACACCTCTGACGGGTTTTTAAAGTTTTCCTGTACTTGCAACTCTGTGCGAGGATATCTTACTCGGATCAATGAGGCAGAGGGGGTTGCACTTATGGGAATACCTTTTTCAGATCACTGAGGTGGTGGAGATACGGGGATACCTTTCTTTGATCATTAAGGTGACGGGGATACGTTTATCTGATCATTAAGGTGACGGGGAAACCTTTCTCTGATCCTTGCAACCCGTTCTCCCAGCACTTCTTCACATACGGTTTGCAGCACTTTTCTAAGTTAGGTTAGGTTAGGCTAGGTTAAGTTAGGCTAGGTTAGGTTAAGTTAGGCTAGGTTAAGTTAGGATAGGCTAGGTTAGGCTTCGTTAATTTAGGTTAGGCTAGGTTTATGTTAAGTTATCCTATATCCATTAAAACCAATAAATTATAACATACCACAACGAGAAAAACTATAAACAGGATAAGTCCGCAGTGTGAACAGAAAGCGAGCAGCCACTGCGCAGGGCTAGAGCAATACAGTCAATACCACGTACTGCTCAAGACACCTTGAGCAGTCACCCACTTGACTGTTTTTACAACAGTGCCATGATGCATGTTATTAACAGGACGGGCTGGTCATTGAGGTGGAGGGGACTGGATGCATGAGATTCACGGATACCTTTCTTGGATCATGATCACTGAGATAGAGAGGGTTGGAGTTACGAGATGCAGGAATACATTCCTAGGATCACTGAGGTAGAGAGGGCTGAGGTTACGATATAGAGGGATACCTTTCTGGGATCACCAGTTACCGAAAGACATCTAGCATTCAGAGTAATAAGTTGCAACCACTGCAGTAACATATACTTTATTACCTCCACTGTAGTAATATGTGCTTTATTACCTCCACTGTAGTAATATGTGCTTTATTACCTCCACTATGGTTACTTTATTTAAGTACCACTATGGTTACTTTATTTAAGTAACTTTATTGCTGTAATAATAATAATATATATTTGAATTTATTTTTTTTATTTGCGATAGAATTCACTGAGCAAAATATTAAATTATATTTAACTTTTTGTACACCGGAGTGTTGTTAGGGAACATTGTACTGTACATCAGTGTTGAGTTGTACACCAGATCACTACCAGTGGTCACCATCACTTGTACACCACACTTGACCAACACCAATGTTTACCATCACTAGTACATCACACCAGAACAACCCAGTGTTCACCATCACTTGTACATCACATCAGACCAATAAAAACATTCACCATCACTTGTACATTACACCAGACCAAGAACATTCACCATCATCTGTACATTACACCGGACCAACAAGAACATTCACCATCATTTGTACATCACACCAGACCAACAAGAACATTCACCATCACTTACACACTACATCAGACCAACAAAACATTCACCATCACTTGTACATTACATCAGACCAACAGGAACATTCATCATCACTTGTACACCACATCAGACCAATAGGAACATTCAACATTACTTGTACACCACATCAGACCAACAGGAGCATTCAACATCACTTGTGCGCCACATCAGATCAACAGGAACACAACAACAGTAATACTCACACGAAATCCGTCAAAAGCCCAAGACTTGTCATCACAGCCGAGCTCAGTGCCCGGGGGAGAGCTGGTCTCTATCCAGCCCACACGCATGGGGCCTGAGGTCAACACCTCCATCTCGAAGTACCACTTGCCGGAGGAGACAGCGTTGGTGTTCTCCAGACGGTACGTGCGGTGCGAGGCTCCACGCTTGGTGCTCACTACCACAGTTGCTGCAGCTGTGTATGTATACCAATCCACCATATCATAACCAGCACATGTATACATGCATGCCAGCCATGAATACATGCGTGCCAGCCATGTATACATGAGTGGTATGTATACATAAGTTCTCTCCATTTAATCATGAGTGCCGTCCATGTATATGTGAGCACCATCTTATATACATAAATACCATCCATGTATATGAGTAGTATATATGTATTTACTAGTGCCATCCATGTGTACATAAGTGTCATCCATGTATACGTGAGTCATTCATGTACATGAATGACATCCATACACACACACACACACCACACACACACACAAATATATATATATATATATATATATATTAATATATATATATATATATATATATATATATATATTATATATATATTATATATATATATATAATTTTATATATATATATATATATATAAATATATATATATATATATATATATATATATATATATATATATATATATATATATATATATATATATATATATATATATATATATGCAATAAGATCACAGTAAACAGGTGATTTCAGAATATGCAAAACAACCACTCTGAAAGAATAGAGAAATTCCAAGCGCTTTCGTGACTACTCACATTATCAAGTTCCTTGATAATGTGAGTAGTCACGAAAGCGCTTGGAATTTCTCTATTCTTTCAGAGTGGTTGTTTTGCATATATATATATATATATAATATATATATATATATATATATATATATATTATAATATATATATAATATTATATATATATATATACCTGTTTATTGTGATCTTATTGCATATATATGTGTGTATATATACATGTATTCATGAGTGCCATCCATGTGTACATAAGGGTCATCCATGTATACATGAGTCATGTATGTATATGAATGACATCCATGTATGAGTGTCATATATCATGTATCAGAAAAAATACATGTAACCAATGTATACACAGGCAGAATACACTGTCAGTATTATCACAGCTGTCATCCATGTACCCATTAGTATGACACACCGAGAGAATTGTCAGCACAGGTGTCATCCACGTCAGCTATATTTATAAACATATGACACCTGCGACAATACTAACAAAGATATGACATCTGTGACAACACTAATAGTTAAACATATGGCACCAAGTACCATCACTAACACATATAACACCAGTGTCACCGATATATGTAATACATGTCGCCCCTACCTGTGACAGGTGGTGGCGTCATTGATAACTGACACAACCGGTGACGAGTGTTGTGATCATAATGAGTGACTAACACTACTGGTGACAGGTGTTGTCATCATAACAGACTGACACTTCTTGTGACAGGGGTTGTTATCATGACAGATCACGGCCTGAAATGACTGCATCCACAATCCCTCATATCACTACACTTTAGTCTCTCCACACCTGTGTGGCCAGGGTATTTTCCGGTGCCTCAGGGTGCTACCTAGTCTCCCACTGCACCAGCTAGTATCCCTGGGTGTCTGTACATACGTACTCACCTTCAGCTTGATCCCCCGTGGGAGCTTCAAGGATGTAGCCGTACACGAGGAGAGTTCGTATGGTTTCCGAAGCTGTGTCTCTGTTGGCCTTCTTGATGGCTTCATCAACATTGCTGTAGCTCACTAGGTGAGGTGAACGATGCATGTCTGGGTCCTCGTTCAGGCCGTAGGTCCAGCCTTGTAGGATGCGCTCTCGGGCCCAGATGTTGTGAGTGTTCTCAGCTAACTGGTCCACCAGCTCCTCCAACTTGGACGTCAGGCTCACCTGGTAACCAAAAAAAAAAAAACAGCAAAAGCTGTCCTAAAGGGTTGTAACTCAGTCCTCCTCGGCCAATTAATATTTTATATATAAAAAAGCTTTCGTGTGACAAGGCTGGTGCGCCTGTAACAGTAAGCAGTGTGAAGGTTCATAATGTTCTTAATAGTCAATACATCACTAACTGTGTGTACATTACGACTAGAGGCTAGTCAGCTAGATGGTAGGATAGTACACTACAAGTTGGGTAGAGGGCACCAGAGAGAGGGCAGTGGTCTGTAAGCCAGCTGGATTTCGGGGTAGTACACTACAACTTGAGTGGTGGGTAGTACACTACAAACAACTTGGGTGGTGGGCAGTACACTACAAACAACTTGGGTGGTGGGTAGTACACTACAAACAACTTGGGTGGTGGGTAGTGCACTACAAGCAACTGGGTGGTGGGTAGTGCACTACAAGCAACTAGGTGGTGGGTAGTACACTACAAGCAACTTGGGTGGTGGGTAGTACACTACAAGCAACTGGGTGGTGGGCAGTACACTACAAACAACTTGGGTGGTGGGCAGTACACTACAACAACTTGGGTGGTGGGTAGTACACTACAAACAACTTGGGTGGTGGGTAGTACACTACAAGCAACTGGGTGGTGGGTAGTACACTACAAGCAACTGGGTGGTGGGTAGTACACTACAAACAACTGGGTGGTGGGTAGTACACTACAAACAACCTGGGTGGTGGGCAGCACACTACAAACAACTAGGTAGTGGGCAGTACACTACAAACAACTGGGTAGTAGGCAGCACACTACAAACTGGGTGGTGGGCAGCACACTACAAACTGGGTGGTGGGCAGCACACTACAAACTGGGTGGTGGGCAGCACACTACAAACTGGGTGGTGGGCAGCACACTACAAACTGGGTGGTGGGCAGCACACTACAAACTGGGTGGTGGGCAGCACACTACAAACTGGGTGGTGGGCAGCACACTACCAGCAACTGGGTGGTGGGTAGTACACTACAAACAACTGGGTGGTGGGTAGTACACTATAAACAACCTGGGTGGTGGGCAGTACACTACAAACAACTGGGTGGTAGGCAGCACACTACAAACTGGGTGGGCAGTACACTACAAACAGCTGGGTGGTGGGTGGGTAGTACACTGTAAACAACCTGGGTAGTACAGTCAAAGTAAGGCCCATGGTGGAACAGTTACCTGGGAGAGGTCGAGAGGCTGGGGCTTGTAACCGTTGGACTGAAGGAAGGGATCGTTGGGCAGCCTGACGGAGCGGATTCGACTGGGAGGCTTGTCCATAGTGATGTGATAACCCAGCGCCAGCACTGTCCTGTCGTGGTAACAACCAGTCCGGTCAATATTTATTGTGGAAAATTTTGGTAATTTTTCTGGGATTTGTGTGTAAGAATTGATGGGGATAATAATGTTTATGTGAAATTGTGGAGGTGTGTATCTTCAGTGACTTTTAAAAGATGTTGTGACATGAGAACTAATATTCTCTATTATTTCCTTATATTTTGTAAGGAGTTAAATAAGTAAAGTGAAAATGTTGTAATTTAGAGGAAATTAATATTTCAATAATGAAAATGTAATACACACCTGGAAGTGTTATTAAATTAATTGAAAAGATGTATTTGTAAACAAAACGTATTGGTAGAGCAACGAAAATGCCGGAGTAACACAGATCGGACCAAAAATTTGTGGAGAATTAATCTCATTTAATCTAAGCCAATAGAAATAGTATCAACAAATATAGTGTCCTATACAATAAGTGAATTTAACATGTATCCAGGGCTCAGATATAAAGTGAAACTATTAAAATAAGAATGATACGAACGAAAAACGTGAGCTGTTGCTGGAGAATCTACACTGCCCACCACATATATCATCAAACTTGCAATGTACGCCTCCCAGTGTGTGAATTACATCACGCTACAGGTAATGTATCTATTTACTGGCCAATATTAGTTGTCTACCGATATGGAGGAGTTAGCTTATATCAAGACCATAATTTGGTATATGTTTCCTTTTTTTGGTAACTGAAGTGTTAGTGTTACTGGCTTGAAATATGTTAGTTTAATGAATTTAAGAACTTTATGTTCAAATAATTTAAGGTTCATATGTGTGAAGGTGGCCATAGAAGGAAGGACAGTGTTGTGACCCACTGCTGCTGAAGTCCCACTTGTCTCCGAGGTACAACTATAGCAGTGTAATCTGTTTTAGATGTGCCCTAGTTCTCCCCAGTTAGGTGTGTGAAATGTTAATTCAGGATTGTACTTGAATAATTCACCCACATAATTTCTCACATTTATCATCATTGTGCTATATTCACATTACATTGTGCAGAAACATGAACTATCGTAATCTGAGCCCAAACTTGTTCTCATAAATTTCATTTGAATGGGAAAATTGAGCCTAGTATTACGCCCTTGTGCTGGTTCTTCATGGGATTGCCTGGGTGAAGGGCATCTGGCCAAGACAGGGTTGCCCTTCCCTTCCTCGTATCGAACTTGAGGTTGTACAACCCATATGAATGTATTGTTTGAGTATTTTCGAACATTTGAAGAAAAAAAGTGCCTGTACTTGTAATTTTAATGTGCTTTTCAACATTTAAATAAATAATTTAGCTATTCCCAATAATAACAACAAAAATAGAAACAATAATAATAATGTGAATAACAATAATAATAATACCTAGGTAATAGGTTGGTAGACAGCAACCGCCCAGGAAGGTACTACCGTCCTGCCAAGTGAGTGTGAAACGGAAACCTGTAATTGTTGTACATGATGGTAGGATTGCTGGTGTCTTTTCTGTCTCATAAACGTATGGGGTAACATGTATATGTTGCTACTTCTGCTTACACGTAGGTCGCATGAATGTACACAAATATATATTTACACACCCATCTGGTTTTTCTTCTGTTTTCTTAATAGTTCTCGTTCTTCTTTATTTCCTCTCATCTCCATGGGGAAGTGGAAAGATTTTTTCCTCCGTAAGCCATGCGTGTCGTAAGAGGCAACTATAATGCCGGGAGCAAGGGGGTAGTAACCCCTTCTCCTGTATAAATTACTAAACGTAAAAAGGAAGACTTTTGTTTTTCTTTTTGGAACGGTTGAAGGTTCTTGATCTGCATTCTCTGGAACGCAGGCGAGAGAGATACACGATAATATACACTTGGAAGGTCCTGGAGGGATTGGTACTAAACCTGCAAGACTCGGCAGGAGATGCAACATTCCCCCGAGGAAAAGCAGGGGCGCCACGAGTACATTGAGATACAACACAATAAGTGTCCGGGGCCCAAGACTGTTCTGCTGCCTCCCAGCATACATAAGGGGGATTACCAATAGGGCCCTGGCTGTCTTCAAGAAGGTACTGGACCGGCACCTAAAGTCAGTACCTGACCAACCGGGCTGTGGTTCGTACGTCAGTTTGCGTGCGGCCTGCAGTAACAGCCTGGTTGATCAGACCCTGATCCACCATGAGGCCTGGTCTCAGACCGAGCCGCCTGGGCGTTGACCCCCGAAACCCTCTCCAGGTAAACCGTGCTTTGGTAGGACACGGCCAGTTTGTTAAAAAAAATTAATAATGTAAAAAGTAGTAATAATAATGTATATTATAACATTAATATAATAAAAATAATCATAATAATAAAAATAATAATAATCATAATAATAAAAATAACAATGATAATAATAATAATTAATATATATTAGAGGCGTGGTGCGAGAGTTACTTGAGTGTCTGAAGAGCCAGTGTAGCGTCGTAGCGCTTCTCGCTAGGTGGGAGTTTCTCGAAGGAGGTGAGGCAGGGGTGATGGAGGCGCAGGTCGTCACGACGTTCACTGTACGTCCAGCCTTGTTCGATCTTGTTCATGGCCCACATCTCGTGGATGTTCTCAGCCAGCTTGTCTCGTACTTGCTCGATGTACCCAGGCAGCTGGATCTGTTAGGACGAAGTCCAGGTATCATATACATCTAGAATGCTCAATCTAATATATACACTGTATAGATTTTTGCTGTCGTAGATGCTAGTTCATTATGTATCCCATATGTATCCTACGGACGATACTGCAAGAACATATGGATACATAAAAGGCCTAGGAACTAGATATTAACAGATTTTTTTTGTGCTAAAATAAAGTTACACAAAATCTAGACTCGATATCTTACGTAGGCTCCAGAAAACACATTCCGTATTGAGATAACACATTATTTATCATCCCTAAATACCATGTTGACAAAGGGGTGAGAATAAGGTATATTGATAATGATGGGTAGAGGGGAGAGAGAGAGAGAGAGTCAGTCAGAAGGGCATAAATCTTGGTAATAGATTGGTTTAGAAAGACGCGTGCTTTTTTTTAAATCAATCAGAAGGGTATGGAAGAGGGGAGAAAGGGAGGGTTGGAGACAACATTGTAATACTACTACTAACAGCAGAGGTGTCCACGGGCTTGGGAACAAACACCAAGTCATCCTGGATGAGCAGAGGGCCGGCCAGTGTCCCCTTGTGCTGCTCACCAAAATAGAAGCATGGGTCGATGGTCAGTGTCTGTAGGAGAAGATGCAAACGATGAGATGTCACGAACATGACCAAGAGGATGAGGGCCACGAACATGCCCACCAGGGTGAAGGTCATAAATATGACCAAGAGGTGTGAAGGAAGTCACGATGACTGAGGAGTATGAAAAGTGAGGAAGTTACTGTAAGTGACGTTAAACAAGAAACTATATCCCAAAAGCACTAAAGTGCTTGACGTGACATATTAATACAAAATCTTACATTAGGCTCCATACGTATCAAATTTTTCACAATGAAAACTGGTCACTACTGTTCCTTAAATAACTACTGCCGGACAATAAAAATATATTATTATTATTTAATTAGCGAACATCATCATCATAATAATAATAATAATAATAATAATAATAATAATAATAATTATTATTATTATTATTATTATTATATTAGCCAACAAAACCGCTAAATGGACAAAGCATCAAGGAATACAAATTTCTGACAATAAAGAAGATTTAGAATAATTTAAGATATATGTTTGTGTGTATTAATTACTAGTTGTCAAAGGCACTCGTCGAAAGACACTTGCTTTGTTTGTGTGTGAGTGTGTGTTTGTTTTAGACTGACCTGGAAGGGCAGTAGACACTCGGACACGGGAGAGTGGGCATCTGGTGGAGGATACTTCAGGCGGCCGTGTTCCCCACCAAGCAGGAACCTCGCACTGTAAACAAACCATACACTCAATTACTCTTAGATTAATAGGAAGAGGTAAGTCCACATGTTGACATTCAGTGCAGAGGGGAGTCGAGGCTTGATCCTCCGTCCACTAATATGGGGGGGGGGGAAACCCAAGCTTAAATATAGCGGCTAGGCTTTCACTCTAATACAGCCTAACACATATATCTAAAGCTGCACTAAATGTTATTGTTCCCTCGTTCATTTATTTAGCTCAGTTATTCAATGGTTCCTGATTTGTTGTCGCTAGGGAAATGTTCAGACCTGAAAAATGGCTAATGGTTACTTCGTAGTTTTACACGATTTTCAAATTAAAGGTCTGCAGCTAAGACTGTAACTCAGCACTTGACCAGTCTGCCGAAGCCGGTCACACCGAGAACCACCTGATTGTTACATACCCGTGACATGACTTACATGCCTGTGGCATAACTGTTACATACCTGTTACATGATTATTACATACTTGTTACATGACTATTACACATCTGTGACATGACTGTTACCGATTTCGAGACATCTTTACTCCTGCAGACCAGCCTCAAACATCAGTTAACCAGAGGTTACCCGAGCTTGATGGATACTGACACCACAAGGCTGACATCATAAGGCTGATGCCAGAGGGCAGACATCACAAGTTACCTGAGCTTAGCGGAGGCTGACACCACGGGGAAGAACATGCCGTCCAGGTTAAAGCCAGTGAAGGCGCCGTTCACCTGACGACCGTTAAGGTAGAAGGTAATGATGGGAACGGTCAGGTCGAGGGCGCAGCCGATCACGTCTCCCTTCTTGATCAACGGCACAGAATCCTGTCAAGTGATACTTTGTTAGGTGTCAAGCCTGTCAAGAGTTAACTTTGAGAGGTGTCAACTCTGAAGAACTGTTGACGAGGTATTATTGTGCTGTCACTGAAGAAAACTTTATTCCATACAAAAGGGACCGAATTATTTTTCAGTGTGTAGTCAACGAGAGATATTCACCTCGGTGTATATACGCTGATATACACTTCTCCCAGTTTGTGTATCTTGAGAGATACACCTCGGTGTATATGCCTCGAGAGACATGCAACTCTCAGAATGTATACCCTGAGAGATAGAGATACACATCTATCGGTATATATACAATTCAAAATACGTACCTATATGTGCATATCCACAGAGATACACATACCTCTCGGTGTACATATATAATATATATATATAATATGCAATAAGATCACAGTAAACAGGTGATAATGTGAGTAGTCACGAAAGCGCTTGGAATTTCTCTATTCTTTAACAGTGGTTGTTTTGCATTATATATATATATATATTATATATATATATATATATATATATATATATATATATATATATATATATATATATATATATATATATATATATATATATATTTCACAACTCAGAATATATACTGAAAAAATACACACCTTTTGGTATATATACAGTGAAATGATTGACAAGATATATAACTGGGGAAAACAGTGATTGACATGTGTAAATGAGGACTACGATAACTGACATTTATTATTGACCTTCCGTCGACCGATCGTGCAGCGAGGAGGTGGTAGTGTCAGAAATGGTGGTAGTAATGGTGGTAATAGTAGTGATGGTGGTAGTAATAGTGGTAGTGACAAAAGTAATAGCAGTAGCAGTGATAGCGGTAGTAGTAGTGATGGTAGAGGTAATAGTAGTGGTAGCAATAGTGGTGGTAGTAGTAGTAGTAGTAGTAGTGATAATGGTAGTAATAGTAGTGGTAGCAGTAGTATTAGTGATAATGCTAGTAATAGCAGTGGTGGTAGAAGCAGTAATAGTAGTAGTGATAGTAGTAGTCGTGACGGTGGTATTAGTAGTAATAGTGTTAGTGGTGGTATTAGTAATAATAATGGTAGTGGTAGTGGTGGTGACAGTGGTACATACAATAGGGTTGACGAGGGTGTATCTGCCGCCAGTCCACAAGTAAGAGCCATCAAAGCCGTAAGAGTAGAGGTCATCTCCCACGCCGTTACCACCCCACTTCTCGCCTCCCCCAGGGTAGCTGACGTAACCCTTGGTGTTGGCCCACCCCAGACGCAGGTGCGGCGGCAGGTGCGATGTCTGTTCGATGTGGTCCAGCGTCACTTCGAAGTACCACTTCTGGTAGATGGCAGAACCTTCCACGAAGCCCACGAAGATGTTGGGGCGCGCGCTGAAAATACGCACTGCATGTTAGACGAGACTTCACGTCTGGAGGAAGTATAGTTAACGCAAAGGAAACTCGTTTTTGGCCAACGAATATAATACCTGCAACATTAGAGTGATAATTGTTGAGTCAGTGAATAGCTTTCAAAAAAAAAAAAAAAATTCTGCTGGAAGCAGAACATAACATGGGAAACAACTGTGTGTGATGTTTATGTGAGGTTAAAACAACTGAAGCCGTAACCTCGTAAAACAGTTACGGTAGATGTATAATGCTCTATGTCTTATTTTGATACACAAAGTATCTAGGGAAAAGATCAAGGCAGCCGGAGATGATTACGGTACTAAGAAAGGAAAATAATGAGTGAAGCTGGTGGAGGTATATGAAGAGGATGATGAGACTTGTCAAACAGCGGAAAGTATTTAAATAGAAGATAAATTATGGTAAGAACAGGATAAGTACTTAGTATTCAAAGATGAAGAGAACAGGAAGATGGAGAGAAAGAAGACAGAACAGAATGTTTTTTTTAAGAAACTTGTACTGTATTTCATGAAGCTCTAAACTTGCGTGGGTCACTCGAAGATTCGATTCTCCGTGTGCCAAATAAATCTTGAAGGCCGGAAGGTAGGTTCTCGCTATAACAAACTCGAGCACATTTGTCACAAACGCAAAATGAAGAAATTTTGGTATCTAAGTAATACACTTCACTTTGTAGTGTGGATGCCCAGTTATTAATTCCTCTGCCTAACTCAATATAGCTGCTTGAGTTGTGATCTAGGGAGACGGCAACAAGAACAGATGCAGCCAGCAGGCTCCTGCTTAGATCCATCACAGTATATAATGTGTGATATATTATTACTACTAACATTTCAGTGAGAAATATCTTCTTGAGCAGTTGCTTTTGCATGTGATTTCAGAAAGGGATTACTTGTGATGAGCCTCTTGGGAGAGGCTTTAAGATATGTGATTGTGTATTAAGTGGATACAACTTCCATGGAGGGGTGAAATGCTCTTGTTGTCTACAGTGATACAGTTCGTGCAGGTTATAAAAATTGAGTGCATGTTTTCACATCCATTTAGATCTATGTGTATTCATTTTCAGATATTTGATAAGCTTCTCAGTAACTGTTCCTGGTTCATTTTTTAAAATTCTAACGTCATGTAATGTATTAAATCCAATAATCATATCACTGATGCTATGAACACCAAACTCTCATAGCATATTAAGAACCTTGGTAGTTATAGGACAGCCAAGAATAATTCTGAGGGCTTGGAGGCTGTAACTAAATAATGAAGCCATGTTTCACACATCTGACTACTTGGACATTATAACTGACCTGGATACGTGGTCTACAAGCTAGGTTTGAAGGATGTGTTCTGGCAGGACACGTGATCTACAAGTTGGGTCTGGAGGAGAAGTTTGCGTCCTGGTAGGAGGTACAACTTACCTGGACACGTGGTCTACAAGCTGGGTCTGGAGGAGGAGGTTGCGTCCTGGCAGGAGGTAGTCACAGATGTTGTTCTGTGAGGAGCGGACAGCCGTACCATTGCCCACACACAGCGAGCGTAACACGTCCAGAACCTTGGGATCACGACCGTATTTCTCCAGCAAGGCGATGATGACTTTAATGTGTTCTTCCTGTCATAACAACACTTAATTTGACCCACCTTGAAACAATATAAACAAGAGAAATAAAGGCCACAGTACCGTGGCTGGAACAGTTCGCAAACAACCAACAGCTGGGATAAGGGAGCAGAACGATCACATTCTAATGACAGTGAACAGCAGTGCATGTGAATGAGTGTTCACCTAGTTTAGAGTGTGTATGATGTGTTGTTGTTACCAGTGTGTTCCCACATGTGTTTGTACCCAAGGCTCAACCTAGTAGGATTTTTTTTTCAGTCCTAGTTCAACCATAGTTCTTTATATATTTCTAGTTATCCTGACAGTAACATTACTACAGTGATATATTATCCTGACAGTAATATGTTATCCTGCAATATTATTTTGTTGTCACGATATATTATTCTGACAGTGACATATTATCCTTCTTCATACACGAAGCTTCAATACAGAGTAGTGTAGTGTCACTCCTGCGTTCATCTCATCATCCATCACGGTAAATAAAGACAGATTTTTGCATGAAGAGAATTACTGAAGTGCTGGTCAATGAGGTCTGGAGAGTAAGTTTGAAAGATACTCTTACATATGTACTTTGTAAGGGCAAGTAACTGAAAGAAATACAAGGAACAACAGCTTCATTATTCCGGGGTGATAGTTTATTGTCATGTTTACACTGCACGTGTGTGTGTGTTTGTGTTGTGTGTGTGTGTGTGTGTGTGTGTGTGTGTGTGTGTGTGTGTGTGTGTGTGTGTGTGTGTACACTATTGTCACGTTTGCACTGTACTTGTGTGTACTACTGTCACGTCTACACTGCACATGTGTGTGTGCACACTACTGTCACGAGTTTACTAAAATCCTCACTCATGTGGGATTTCAAATTATATTACACTGCATTACAGAGAATAAAAATTACATTACATTGCATTTCAAGAGAAGGATAATGTAAAAACAATGTTACAGTGAAGAGCGAAGGAAAATATCTCATAAATAAGAGGATAAATTATGGCTTGAAGAACATCATGTAAGACTTTGAGGATATAAATAAACACAATAAAAAATAACATTATAATGTAATAATATAAAGTTAGTGATCAAACTACGAATAAAATATAATCTACAGACTTCAGTCAATAGAATAAAGTTGATTTACATTATAAATCAGCTTAAATTCAATAGCCTTCATATATATGACACATAACTCATCTGATTACCATACATCTACACCAAATGTACTTAGAAACAAAACATGTATCTAATTATATACATATATGCAACATATACACAATATACACTTGCAAGTTATATATAATATTTCTGAAATATACAGAATATATACTTAAAACGTACTTATCTCACAGTCACTACTGATACATAACATAAACTTGTTTATAGTTAATATCGTTCACATATACACGAAAACTTGTAACATAAACTTGTTTGGAATGTCACCTTCATGACGTTAAGAGCTTCGGGAGAGTCGACCAGTACACAGTGAAGTACATCCAACATGCCAGTACCTTCACCAGCTGAACCCAGACGTGAGAAAAGCCAGTTCAAGCGGTGGCTGTTGGCAAACTGCGAGCAGTTGGTGTGGTTGCCCTTGATGACGGCAGCCAACAGCTGGTACAGGTAGCCTGCGATACAGGGAAGGTGCAGGTTACACAGATGGGTAGTAGGTTCTCAGTATGGTACGTAGGAAGTTTCAACACACACACCTGATACATGTGCGTGATTACATTCTTGTGCATACATACACACCTGTGTGCGTGTTTACATGCACATGTGTATACACGTGCATGTACTCAGTGTGTATATATACAAACGTGTGTGTAGTGTACACACATGAATATGCACATGTCTCATAAATCAGACAAAACTCCTCCATAAGATTTATAAGGCAGGGCCAGGAGCTATTACCTCAATGATTATAATCTATACAAGACGAATCACTAGAATAATTTAAAATTAAATGAGTATCTTCGCGAATGACGCAAACATTCACCCAGGGTAAGAAATACAACTCACCATCAATCTCTACAAGACTTGGATGGGCTGAACAAGCGGGATGATAGATGGATGAGGGAATTTAATGTTGACAGGTGAAAAGTAATGGAAACTTGAGAGAGGAGGAAAAGCTGGCGAAGAAGATAATATGCAGATAATCGCCAGAAAGGGATCTAAAAGAAATCGTGAAGGCAAAATTATAACCAGATCACTTAAGTTGTGGAAAACTGGCTGAGTGCAAAGGAACTTAAAGATATTGTACATGGATGGTGAAATGCTAACAAAGTGTTCACATCATAGGCACTGCTACCGAACAGGTGTTAGCATATGTCATGTCAGTGATTAGGCTTTGCAAGCAGTGCCACGGAACCGGCCTTAGTATTTACAGTGTCGCTAAACAAGTATTAACGTAATGAAGGTCAGTGAACAGGAGTTAGCACAAGTAATACTGCAACACAGGGAGGTGAAAACTTGATGATTCTAACTAATGATAAATCCTTGTCCTTTAACAGGTTAAAGAACAGGGATGTATCATTAGATTACCAAGAGGTGAGCATTTGCTAGGTTACAGAGCAGCTGTTACCATAAGTACCACTATCGTTGCTGCCATACCTGAAATAATATCCCAGTCTAGGCCAGCCTCCTCTCCAGCGAGGGACACCAGGTATCCCTGCTGGGTGATGACGGTGATCTTGTCGATAGCGTCCAGGATGAGGTTAAGAATACCCTCCTCCTGGAACAAGTCCTGGCGGTTCCTCAGAGCACGCAGTGAAAACTGCCTCTCGTTGTGTTCTGTAGAATTATGAGACTTGAATAATCAGGACAATAAAACATGCTCAAAGGGTGTTTATTCTACTTGCAGAGAGGAAAACAGCAATGGAAATGAACCTTATATTACGACTCCCAAATGGAGTCCTCATCAGTCAAACTCTGCTGACGAGGACTAGAGTTGGGAGACGCAATACAGAATTTCATTTCCATTGCTGTTTCCCTGCCAACTTCTGGGACAAGCGTTCGTTACATTTTCGTTATCACAGCAAAAACATTTATTTTCATTCTTCATCGAAGATGAAGTTTTTAGTTCCTTCGTTATCAATAGTATTAGGAGAGCACCTCAAGACAGGAACTGTCTCTCTTGCACGAGAGGTACTTCAGATGCTGGAACACAGTTACTGTGTTTAATCAATTAAATATTTTCCGCCACCCAAAAAAAGACACATGGGAACCATATGGACACTCACATACATGTGAGTTTACAGCAATTTATTACGTTTTTATATTTCTTTCGTATTATAGTAATAATTAAGAAAACAGACAAGTAGATGCGCAACACTTGGGTATATCCATTGTCGGTTTTCTAAATCATTACAAAATACTACTGCGTCACCTCACCTGTCTCCAGCTATGTATATAAAATCCTTCCCCGTGCATACCATGTACTTTTATCAAGCCTGATGAGCTGAACACATATCTCAAGCCTGAAGGACTGATTGCCTCAAACTCCCTCTTCACTTCTCTAACGTTCTTCTCTGCATTGGACTGATAAAACCACTGGTTGGCGAAACGTTTCTACAATGGGGATACCCAAGTGTTGCACATGTGTCTAATTCATCTACTCTCGTTTACTAAACGCAAAAGTTTAAAAAATTATACACAAATGTCCTATACACGCTAATCATTTTTAACAGTAATGCAGTTATTTCATTACATCTCAGCTGTATATAACATTGTGATGCATACATTTTAAAAAATTGCTTCAGTTTCGTTTTTACCTGAAACAGAGTATATACACCGAGAGCTGTATGTCTCTCAGTGCATATACACAGGTAAGATGTAGCCTTAATAATCCTTTTGTAATCGACGGAGTTTTAAGCCCTATTAACCAACCTATGGCTACAAATGGTTCTAATATGTCTTGTCAGAAATGTTTAAGCCTTGTCAAGATGCCTCTAATTCCTCAAAGCAATGCACTCTTTCAACGTGGTTGAGACGTTCATATTAATCTAATACATGTATACAACTTACCTACTCATCAGCAGGGACTCACCTAACTGATCAGCAGGGACTCACCTAAATCATCAGCAGGGTAGGCGAAGTAGTTGATGAGGTCCTCCAGGCAGTTGATCATCTCTTTGAGATTGACAGTTTTGAAGAGCGTTGAATGTCTCCTGGAAGTCTGGATGTGATCCAGGCCCCTGGGAGGGAGAGTAGCATTAAGCTCATGATCCCAGGAAGATGAAAACAGTTTCAGTTCCCTGGATCAAGTGCCACTGAGGGGTCTCCTTAGTGAAGCTATGAGAGCTTCATTGAGATATACACATCATAGTCTGATACAAGATATATCTTCATATCATTTTCAGATCGTCATTTTAATATTTTTATTTAATTTTAAAATCATAAAAAAATATATTTAAATGGTATGTATTCAAGTTGACGTCTGACCTGAGCCAGATTCTTGGTGTCTCAGGTCATGTTATGCTCGGAAACTGAATCTTATAAGTAGTTTACCAATATGATAACCCGCTCTCTCACTAAGGATTTTCCAACAGACTAAGTCGTTAAAGAGTGTGTCAACAGACTAAGTGGTTAAATATTGTGTCAAAAGAGTATGTCATTAAACATTGTGTCAACAGTTAAGCATTTTTAATTCTGTCTTAAGAGAGTAACTTCTTAAACATTGTTTTGAGAGAATTATTCAGTAAACATTCTCTCAACACTTCAGCAGAATGTCATCATCTCTCACTTTCCACGCAAACATTTTAAACGATGTCGATATATATCAGTCTTAAAAAATAACTCTGCCTCACTTGCGTTAACAATATTTTATTTGGAAGCGACACCTGTTCCAACAAATCCAAACTGCACAAGTACATGTAATGCTCCTACACATACACTCACACAAGCGTGTAGGACACTTTTACACTCGCATAAGTGCATGGGACACTTCTGTACTTACATTCACACTAACGTGTGAGACACACCCACATCTACGTTATCTTAATGCTTAATATAAACATAATTTTGTGTAGTGAAGGGTGAGACATGATAAGAGTGAAACAGATAAACTTAAGAGTAAGATGAGAGAAATAATTCGATAACTGCGACTACTATTTAATGAATCTATGTACGAGGTGTGACTGACTACCACTAGTGACTTAATGAAAGCAGTGAAGAGGTGTGACTGACTACTAACTTAATGAAATTACTGAAGAGTGACTGACTACTGAGGAATGACTGACTACTGACTTGATGAAAGTATCGAAGAGGTGTGACTGACTACTGACTTGATGAAAGTATTGAAGAGGTGTGAACACTTGCGGATGACTCTGCCGGTACGAGACTCTTCTTCTTGACTCCTGTAGAAGACGAGACCGTCGTCCATCTTTCCTTCTTCATGAAGTGTGCCTTGCTTCACCTCCACTTTTCCCACACCCTTCTTCTTGATCTCGAAAGCCTGTCAAACATACGAACATTGATATAATTCGCTACTTTTTACTAGTGGCGTAGTTCACCGACACTCCTTAACACTCGTCACAAACGACGCACTCTGGCGTGCACTTCACGTACCTCAGCACTGCAACATGACCGAACCTGACATGCATAGAATAGTGATTGTTGCTTCGCAGAGTGATTTATTGCTGGAATGAAGTGTGTGAAGTAAGAAAATATCCGATGATTTTTTATAACAGAAGTTGGACATTGCGAGCATAACCAAACACACCACACACACACAATTTTGCTCACCCTGTATGAGAGATAGAAGCCAGTCTCCACGTGTTGGACAATGACGGTGGAGTCTCCATATTTGATGAGTGGAGTGCCAATCACTTCGAGGTCCTTGTCTTCCAGGATCACCTTGTTGTCCTCCTTCTCCTCCCTCAGGTAGAACGTAGCTGCTGACATCGTTGCATCGTCTCTGTGGTTAACAAACTAGTTACCAAACAACTGGGACCTTTTACGATATACACACATACTAATCCTTATTATATACCTTACACAGTATTATTTATATAAAATGTTGTTATAATAAGATCAATTAATGTCTTATTAAGATCTCATGACCACTTCACATCAACTTACAAAAGGGCTCAAGGAACAAGTAACACATTATAAACGACGTTTTGAACCATCGTAGAACATCATCAGACCACTTGATGAAGGTCCATGACGGACCGAAATATCGTCAAAGTGTGAGGTTATTTGTGAATTTTTGCAGCTACGGTATTGTTCTAGTCATGGTATTATTGTATCTGCTGTATTTGTATTTGTTCCAACCAAGGTGTTATATTGTTATATTGTTCCAATCACGCCATTGTGATTCTTGTTCTACAAGAAGTCAATTAACTTCGTCAACGACCACATCAACCTGTCTAATTACCTACACACAAAATATAAAATTGATTACCTGTGTAGTAGGACGAGTTCGTTCTGTTCGTTGATTCCCAAGTATCTTCCAGTAGTGATGTGCCTAATGCGCATAGGGTGGAACCAGTTGATGTAGCCTCCGGCCCACTTGGTCCTGGCCAGCTCCAGGCGCCACAGTGACCTGGCCTGGGACGTGACTGACCCTCCCTCGTACACCACGATGCTGGAGGAAGAGAGAAAAATGATGGAACGCAGACATATTCGGCCACCTGGGGATGGTTGAGTCTTTTCCACTGACACCTTACACCGTATCGAGCCCAGATGGTTGGCTCTTTCTGTTGAGGTTTAAAGGGCCACTGACACCTCATACCGCAATGAGCCTAGATGGCTGATTTGTTTGGTTTAATGCCGGTGGTAATTAAGGCAATTAGAATAACCAGTCAATCATAAGCTTTCACTGTATATCAGATGTGAAAATTTAGTAACATTATGCATAATAATAGCATAAATTATTTAATGATGTGTAGAAACTCGTAAATAATCATAAGTTTAAATTAAATTTGCTCTCTAAATTGCATTTTTAAGGGAAAATCGAACAAAATGTTTAGAGATATGCAACACTCGGTGTACATATCCTTGAGTTTGTAGACTATATCTACTCTCAACTTGTAGACTATATGTACTCTCAACTTGTAGACTATATATACTCTCAACTTGTAGACTATATGTACTCTCAACTTGTAGACTATATGTACTCTCAACTTGTAGACTATATGTACTCTTAACTTGTAATGACCAAAAGTAGGCCAAAATTTTTTTTTTTTTTACGTTTTATCATAATCTTGTGTGAGTGAATTGTATATTAAGTGACTTGACTTCAATCTCTGACTCAGCGTTATGAAAGTCGTCAGGATCACCCCGGTAATGACTAAAGCTTGTGTGGATATGATGTATACTAGTTTGTTGTCGCCTCACTTAATGCAAATTCAGTTAGTTTAACGGGTTTATTATGCACCTCATAATCAAGGTGTGTGCGGTAGTCAAGAGATTACAGCTGCACATGATGGGACCCGGGACTGGGCCCCAAAGTTCGCTTTAATATCTGTATTATATAGCAAAATCAACAAAAGCTACATTCCACAGTTAACTGAAAAGTTGCAGATAAAAGTAGATGACGTTTCGGTCCTTCCTGCACATGGTAATGGTCGTAGACGGACCGAAATGTCGTCTTCATTGTGAATTGTTAGCTACGATATTTTGACATTTTTGGTCTTGCTGGGTCATGGCAAGAACGAGAAGAGGAAGAACTAGAGTAGTATAAAGCAGCGAGGAACATAAAAGGTTGTCGGTGGACAACAAGAGAAAGATAGGCTTGGTTGATCAGACCCTGATCCACAGGGAGGCCTGGTTATTATGCCCTGATGCACAGGGAGGCCTGGTTATTATGCCCTGATCCACAGGGAGGCCTAGTTATCATGCCCTGATCCACAGGGAGGCCTGGTTATTATGCCCTGATCCACAGGGAGGCCTAGTTATCATGCCCTGATCCACAGGGAGGCCTGGTTATTATGCCCTGATCCACAGGGAGGCCTGGTTATCATGCCCTGATCCACAGGGAGGCCTAATCAAGGACCGGGCCGCGGGGAGCGTTGACCACCGGAACGACCTCCAGGTAGGAAAGATTAAGCGTCCTAAGTACTTACTTCTGTCCGGGTTGATCTGACCAGGTGGATGGTATGGAGAGACATTCATCACCACCGTGGAAAAAACGCAGCACCTCACCGCCGAACACACACGCTGAGGATAACACAACATGTGATCAACACGCTAATGCAACACACACACACACCACACACACACACGACAAAACAGACACACACCACACACACCACACACCACACACACACACACACACACACACACCACACACACACCCCACCACACACACCACACACACACACACACTTGCAATATTTACAACATGAAAAATATGCTGATACACTAAATGAATACCAGCCACAGTTGAAAATAATTTTTATTAATAGTTATTATTATTATTATTATTATTATTATTATTATTTTTAAATTATTATTATATTATTATTATTATTTTTTATTTTTTTATATTATAATTATATTATTATTATTATTATTATTATTATTTATTATTATTACCATTATTATTATTATTATTTTTTTATTTTTATTTTATTATTTTTATTTTTTCATTTTTATTATAAAAGGGAAAAGGAAAAATAATAAGGTTTGATCCGAGGGTGAGTGGTAACTCAAATTTCTGGGATCAAGAGCCCTTCAGCAGGACCAAGACTACAGCTTGAAGGTAAGTAGAGGAAATTAATGTATCAGTAGGAGTGGGATACATATGTAACAGGAGTGGGATACTTATGTAACGAGTGGGATACATATGTAACAGGAGTGGAATATATATGTAACAGAAGTAGGATACATATGTAAAAGTAGTGGGATACATACCCAGGTACTAAGCTTAGACACATACCAGGGAGGAGTGTGACATATACCCAGGGAGAAGTGCGACTTATACCCAGGGAGTGGTGTGATACATACCCAGGGAGAATTCTGACACATACCCAGGGAGAAAGGTGAAACATACCCAGGGAGGAGTGGGATACATATCCAAAGAGAAGTGAGACATACCCAAAGGGAAGGGGATGCATACCCGGGGAGAAGTGTGATACATGCCGAGGGAGAAGTGATATATACCCAGAGAAAGGAATACATACCCAAGAAAGAGTGATACATACCCAGGCATGAGAGGGACACATACCCAGGAGTGAGGGGGATACATACCCAATGATGAGGGGATACATACTAAGAGATGAGGAGGGAAACACGCCCAGGGGAGGAGGGATACATACACAGGGATGAGGGGGATACATACCTACAAACTTGAGTCTAGAGAGGCCGGTACCAAAGGGACTGACAGACCAGTGAGTGACGTGGAACGAAGCGTTGACGATACTCTGGTCATCCTCCTTCGTCGCTTGCTGTAGCGAGACACACACTGTAACACACTACCTCCACATACAGTGTACCATACTACCTCCAACCTGTAAAAACATTGTTTTCCCCCACAGTGTAACCACCTGACTCCACACATTGCAACCACCTGCCTCCCCACAGAGTAAACACACTGCCTCACCATGACCATACTGTCTCCACCAGATTGTAACATATGCCTTTCCCCACACAGTGTATCATACTGCCTCCCCACACAGTGTACATACTACCTTTAAAACCACTGCGGGACCATACTGCCCTTTACCCCACAGTTTTAACATACTGCTCCACACACCAGGGGTTATCATATGCCTTCAACACAGTGTATAACACTGCCTTCACACACAGCGTACCATACTGCCTCCACACACAGTATAACATACTGCCGCCACACACTGTACCATACTGTCTCCACACAGATTGTAACATAATACCTCCACACACAGTATAACTGGTGTTACTTACTACCCCTACACACAGTGTAACTGGTGTACCTTACTACCCCCTAAACACAGTATAACTGGTGTACTTACTACCCTACAACAGTTATAACTGGGGTTTTACCTTACTACCCATACACACAGTATAATGGTTACCTTACTACACCCACACAATCAGTATAACTGGTGCAATTTACTACACCTACACAAAAGTATAATGGTTGTACCTTACTACCCTACACACAGTATAACTGGTGTACCTTACTACCCCTACACACAGTATAACTGGTGTACCTTACTACACCTACACACAGTATAACTGGTGTACCTTACTACCCCTACACACAGTATAACTGGGTACCTTTCTACCCCTACACACAGTTATAAATGGGTGTACCTTACTACCCCTACCCCACAGTGTAACTGGTGTTTCCTTTCTACCCCTACACACAGTATTTCTGGTGTACCTTACTACCCCTACACACAGTATAACTGGTGTACCTTTCTACCCTACACACAAATGTAGCTGGTGTACCTTACTACCCATACACACAGTATAACTGGTGTACCTTACTACACCTACACACAGTATAACTGGAGTACCTTACTACACCTACACACAGTATAACTGGGGTACCCTTACTACCCTACAAACAGTTTAACTGGTGTACCTTATTTCCCTACACACAGTATAGCTGGTGTACCTTTTTTCTACCCTACACACAGTATAACTGGTGTACCTTACTACAACCTACACCCCAGTATAACTGGTGTAACCTTACTACACCTACACACAGTATAACTGGTGTACCTTACTACACCTACACACAGTACAACTGGTGTACCTTACTATACCTACACACAGTATAATGGTGTACCCTTTCTACACCTACACACAGTATAATGGTGTCCTTACTACCCTACCACCAGTATAACTGGTGTACCATACTACAACTACACACAGTATAACTGGTGTACCTTACTACACCTACACACAGTATAATGGTGTACCTTACTAACCTACACCAGTAAACTGGTGTACCTTATTACCCCCAACACAGTGTAACTGGTGTTTCCTTACTACACCTACACACAGTATAACTGGTGTTACTACTAAACCTACACACAGTATAACTGGTGTACCTTACTACACCTACACACAGTATAACTGGTGTACCTTACTACACCTACACACAGTATAACTGGTGTACCTTACTACACCCAAACAAATTATAACTGGTGTACCTTACTCACCTACACACAGTATAATGGTGTACCTTACTACGCTACACACAGTATAACTGGTGTACCTTACGAAACCCACACACAGTATTAAATGGTGTACCTTATACCCCTACACACAGTAAACTGGTGTTAAAATTACTACCCCTACACACAGTATAACTGGTGTACCTTATTACCCCTACACACAGTATAACTGGTGTACCTTACTACCCTTACACACAGTATAACTGGTGTACCTTACTACACTTACACACAGTGTAACTGGTGTACCTTACTACACCTACACACAGTATAACTGGTGTACCTTACTACACCTACACACAGTATAACTGGTGTACCTTACTACACCTACACACAGTATAACTGGTGTACCTTACTACACCTACACACAGTATAACTGGTGTACCTTACTACCCCTACACACAGTATAACTGGTGTACCTTACTACCCCTACACACAGTATAACTGGTGTACCTTACTACACCTACACACAGTATAACTGGTGTACCTTACTACACCTACACACAGTATAACTGGTGTACCTTACTACACCTACACACAGTATAACTGGTGTACCTTACTACACCTACACACAGTATAACTGGTGTACCTTACTACACCTGCATACAGTATAACTGGTGTACCTTACTACACCTACACACAGTATAACTGGTGTACCTTACTACACCTACACACAGTATAACTGGTGTACCTTAGTACCCCTACACACAGTATAACTGGTGTAACTTACTACACCTACACAGAATATAACTGGTGTACCTTACTACACCTGCACACAATATAACTGGTGTACCCTACTACACCTACACACAGTATAACTGGTGTCCCTTACTACACCTACACACAGTATAACTGGTGTACCTTACTACACCTACACACAGAATAACTGGTGTACCTTACTACCCCTACACACAGTATAACTTTGGGGTACCTTACTACCCCTAAAACACAGTATAACTGGTGTAAACCCTTACTAACCCTAACACAGTATAACTGGTGTACCTTACTACACCTACACACAGTATAACTGGTGTACCTTACTACCCCTACACACAGTATAACTGGTGTACCTTACTACCCCTACACACAGTATAACTGGTGTACCTTACTACACCTACACACAGTATAACTGGTACCTTCTACCCTACACACATTTTGACGGTGTACCTTACTACACCTACACACAGTGTAATTGGTGTACCTTACTACCCCTACACACAGTATAACTGGTGTACCTTACTACCACCTACACATTTTAACTGGTGTAAACTTAAATACAACCTACACACAGGTATAACTGGTGTACCTTACTACACCCACACACAGTATAACTGGTGTACCTTACTACACCTTTCACACAGTATAACTGGTGTACCTTACTACCCCTACACACAGTATAACTGGTGTACCTTACTACCCTACACACAGTATAACTGGTGTACCTTACTACCCCTACACACAGTATAACTGGTGTACCTTACTACACCTACACACAGTATAACTGGTGTACCTTACTACACCTACACACATTATAACTGGTGTACCTTACTTCGCCTACACAGTATAACTGGTGTACCTTACTACCCCTACACACAGTATAACTGGTGTACCTTACTACACCTACACACAGTATAACTGGTGTACCTTACTACAATTACAGTTTAACTGCTGTACCTTACTACACCTACACACAGTATAACTGGTGTACCTTACTACACCTACACACAGTATAACTGGTGTACCATAGTACCCCTACACACAGTATAACTGGTGTACCTTACTACACCTACACACAGTATAACTGGTGTACCTTACTACACCTACACACATTATAACTGGTGTACCTTACTACACCTACACACAGTATAACTGGTGTACCTTACTACCCCTACACACAGTATAACTGGTGTACCTTACTACCCCTCACACAGTATAACTGATGTAAAATTAAAACACCTACACACAGTATAATGGTGTAAACCCTTTTACACCTTCATACAGTATAACTTGTGTACCTTACTACACCTACACACAGTGTAAAATGGTTACCTTACTACACCTACACACATTATAACTGGTGTACCTTACTACACCTACACACAGTATAACTGATGTACATTACTACACCTACACACAGTATAACTGGTGTACCTTACTACACCTACATACAGTATAACTTGTGTACCTTACTACACCTACACACAGTGTAACTGGTGTACCTTACTACACCTACACACAGTATAACTGGTGTACTTCACTACCATATCATAATTGGAAAGAAACCTGATATAGTTTATTTAACTAAAATTAAACTGGAAAAGTGTATTTCTAGTGAGGCTGTATTTGCAAGAGATCAGTCAGTGTTGAGAAGAGACAGCGTAGGGAAGGAAGAGACAGCGTAGGGAAGGAAGAGACAGCGTAGGGAAGGATGAGACAGCGTAGGGAAGGATGAGACAGCGTAGGGAAGGAAGAGACAGCGTAGGGAAGGAAGGAAGGAAGAAAGGAAGGAGGAGGACTGGCAATATTGGTAAAAGACTTTCCTCAAGTAATGGAAACTGAAATCCAAAATACCGAAAATATTGAAATTTTCGGGATGAGAGAAGACAGTAACGATCAGAAACTGTTCGTAGTAAATGTATATAAGAGAAGAGTTGCATAAGATAACTGAGGGATTACATAATATACTTAGGGAACTGTTGATGAAAAGTAACCGTGTTGAGCAAAAACTGATTGTACTTGCAGATTTTAACTGTAAAAAATTAAATTGGGCAGCTTATGAGGCTGGTCAGTAGATGTCTGTCATTTATCGACAGTTTTTTATGCATGTAGTGTTTACTTCAACAACGGACGAAATTATCAACATAATCTATTTAAACCCACTTGGAAAGAATAATTATCTTCTAGTGGAAATAACATGTGTAGTGAAATATGTTTTAGCAAATGAAAAAAAAATGGAAATGTAATGGAAATAAAGGGGAATTTAAATCTGGTCATATGAAGAATATTGACTGTGGCAAAATGTTAAAAATAATAGGGAAGAGAAGGTGATGTAAGAGTTACGTATAAGTAGCAAAAATTGTCACCGGAAATCATATTATGAAATTGTTTGAAAACTTGTATTTTTTCCTGAAAAAAACTATAAAATAAATTTCAATTTAGGGATGGTGGGTTTAAAAGAAAGATATTATAATTTATATTGTTTTTGAGGTGTTGTGTGGAGCCACCCCGGGAAAAAACAAAAAGGTAGGTAAAGAAAAATTTTTCGTGTTATTAAGAGCTCAAAATGGCTCCCCAAGTTTGAAAGTACGAACTATGAGAGAGGATAAAAATATTAAAAAAATTTACCCATGAGGTTGATGTGGGGAAAAAGGAAAACTAATAACAATACAGGTTTTGAAAGACTTGAAAGTTTAGATAAGGTTTTCTTAGTTTTGCAACAGGATAACAATAACCCCTGTTGCTAATTAAGGAAAAGAGGTGGAAAGAACACCCAAAAAATTTTTCTAACCAGAGGGTTTGACGAGTAGAATGTATTAAAAGGAGGAATTGAAAAGTACCGGCCCAGTGGGTTTTAAAAAATTTGAAAACAGGAGGGACACAACGGCAATTTCTTTATGTAATACGAATACAGTTAATTACACACACATCTTCAGCAAAATAATATAGAGTCGGTGAAGGAGTTTAGAGATCATTAGGAAGGAGGGAGAGACATCTCAAAAAAAAATGACTGAGAAACGCTCATTGGGAAGGGGGTGGAGACTTTTAGGAGTAAGAACTCTCATTAAAAAGAGTGAGAAAAAATCTTGGGATGAGAACGTCTTTTGGGAAAGGTGGTGACGTCTTATTGGGGAATCAGAGAAGTCTCAAAAGGAAAGTGAGGACTTCATCAGAAAAATGAAAGACTTACCAATACTCCAGTAGCCACAGAGAAAAGGATGGGTGTTTTCCACCCTCACTTTCCACCCAGATCTCTGTTTTTGGCAGGATGATCGTCCACCGCACGACTCTCCTGCAACATACAACCCAACACCACAGTATTTACTTTGCTATATACCTGAAATAAAAGCTACGGGGATTATGGGCGTGGCTCGGGTTTTTAAACAAGTAACAGGGGGGGTATGGGCGGGGCCCCTGTATGCAGCTACAGTGTTTTGGACAGGTTATTGTTTTGTACAAGTTCAGGTGTGAGGACGGGGATGTTGGGGTAACGCCTTTAGTGTGTGGGTCGAGCTTTGGGCTGTAAAAAATACAGGTTTGTAGGGTTTTGGGATATGGGGTGCTTACAAACTGCAGGGTTGCGCCCTTGGGTTTTGGTATATATAAGCTGCAGGTGGGTGGGGTAGTTGTTGGTATTGCAACCTGCAGGTGTTTTGTGGGCGTAGCTGTTGGTTTAAAACACCTCGGGGTGTATGGGGGCCCGTAGTTGTTGGTTATACAAACGCAGGGTTTATAAGGCGCAGTTGCTGGAATAAGAAGGTGACCTGTTTTTTACTTATTATTTTAAAGCTTGTTTTTGTATGTAAACAATTAATCCGCACAAAATTTTTCATTCTCTGTATCCCGGTTATTTTTTTGTTTTGTTCCATCCGGAATTGTGCCTTTTTATTCTTGATTTGTTTTTTGTGATTAATTTTTTAGTTCTGTTCAAAAAATGGGGCTCCTTGCATTGTTTACAATTATAATTTTTTATTTAGAGGATTAAACCCAAAAAATTTTACAACAGTTGTTCAGGAAGCACTTGAAGGAACACGGAATATTATGTACCCCACGCTAAACAATTTCAACAGTTGTGTCAGGAAGCATTCGAAGGGAAAACCCCAAATTTTATGTATCCACATAGTTCCCCAAAACAAAAATATACAATAGCTGTGTCAGGATTTAGACTTCGAGATGTTTTATTTGGTGTTTTCCTGAAGACCAAATCGAAGGCCCATTTTATTCTTGACGAACGGGTTGGAGGACGGGCCCTGGCCTGTAAAGACAGAGGATATGAGTAAGTGAAGGGTTCCCCCGATTTTTTTTCTCCCCAAGCCCGACCTTGGGGACCAGGCTTGTCTGATGCTTTCTGGTCAACCAGGTTGTTGCCATTGCAACCCCCCATAAATTTTTTATTCAACCGAGCTCCCAATTTTTAAAAAATTACACACGAACCCCGTTCCACACTAAATGCACAAAAATTCCCTACTTCCCACCCTCTAAATTACAAAAAACTGCCTATTCCCCACCCTCTAATAACACAAACTCCCTCTTCCACCCCCTCTAATAACACACACATACCCCTAACATTTTTCAACATGAACCAAATTAAGTTTAAAAAAACAACTGTCAATAAAATAAACGAAGGGGGACGGGGGCTCAACTGAGGTCCGTAAATTGACAAACGCTCTATGTCTCCTAATAGGAAGTATTTCAGAGGTAATAGTGACGGAATGTAATACAGTTTTCCCTCTGAATCCTTCATTGGGAACCTGGGGTTTGCCCCGGCTGTAATGGACCGCGGTTCGTACCCCCCGTTCCAAACCCCCCTTTTTTATTTATGTTCAAAATGTTTCAAAAAGGCAAAGTTTTTACCTAGAGGGTTAAAAAAGGTTTTAAAAGTTCCCGGTCCCCGTATATTGAGTACTGCAGCTCCTGGGCAATATTTTTAGACGTAAGTGTTTTTATCCTGATGTTATAGCTTCATCTGTGCACGGTTCTTCTCAGTAATTAAATAACTGCCGGGGTTTGGCGTCTGGTAATGCCTGTGTGGCAGTTTGGTTTAACTGCCGTGTGGCAGTCATGGTATTTCGGGGTGGAGTCTGGTTTAAATGCGGTGTGGCGTTTTGGTAATGCCGGGGGGCAGTATGGTAATGCCGGTGGGCAGTCATGGTAACTGGGTGTGGAGTCTGGTAACTGCCGGTGTGGCGCTGGTAATTTGGGGGTGGCATAAAGGTAATGCTGGGGTGGCAGTCAGGAAAGCTGGTTTTTGGGGTATGGTAACTGCCGGTGTGGGCAGTCATGGAAAATGCCGGTGTGGCGTCAGGAATGCTGGGGTGGCACAGGTAACGCCCCGGTGTGGCAGCATAGAACTGCTGGGGGTGGCAGCCAGGTAACTGCCGGTGTGGAGTCATGGTAACTGCCGGTTTTGGCAGTCATGGTAAAAAGCCGGGTGGCAGCATGGTAACTGCCGGGTGGCAGCATGGTATGCCCGGTGTGGCAGTCATGGAACTGCGGTTTTTTGGGGGTCATGGAACTGCCGGGGGGCAGTCATGGTAACTGCTGGGGGTGCATCATGGTAACTGCTGGTGTGGATCTGGTAATTTTGGGGAAAGTCATGGTAAATGTGGGGGTGGCAGTCATGGTAATGCCCGGGGTGGCGTCATGGTAACTTGGTTGGGGGAGTCTGGAATGCTGGTGGGCAGCGGGAACTGCGGTGTGGGGTCATGGTAATGCGGTTGGCAGTCAGGTAATGCTGGGTGGCAGCATGGTAACTGCGGTGTGGGGAGTCCTGGTAATTGGTGGGCTCAGGGGAAATGTGGTGTGGCGTCATGGTAAAATGCTGGTGTGGGGAGTCATGGGAACTGCTGGTATGGCCCGTCATGATAAAAAATGGTGGGAGATGGTAACTGCTGGTGTGGCGTCATGGAAAAGTGGTGTGGCTCATGGTAATTTCCCGGGGTGGCAGTCATGGGAACGCCGGTGTGGCAGTCATGGTGCTGTTTTGGTGTGGGGGTATGGCAAAGCGGGGTGGCAGTCAAAAGCCCCCTCTCACTGGCCTTGCACTCTTTAATTTTTTCTCTCAAGTCTGTAGCAGAAAGCGCTTTTTGTCATACACCCATTACGGTACCAGTTTCGTTGTATCAACCATCACGGTGGTCTTAACCAACCATCCCCCCCCAACTATCAGGTGGTCTTACACAACCCTCCCCAATCATCAACCCTCATGGTGGTATACACAACCCTCCCACCATCATCAACCCTTGTGGATACACAAAATTCCCCTCATCATCAACCATCATGGTGATATAACAACCTTTCCCCCATCATCAACCTCAAGGTGGTATACACAAACCCCATCCCAAAATTTATGGTGGGTTTAAAAACCATCCCCCACACCACATGGTGGTTTTTAAAAAAACCCTCCCCCCATCTCAACCATCTGGTGGTATCACACCATCCCCCCATTATCAACCATCATGGTGGGTTTAAAAACCATCCCACCATCATGGTTGGTATAAATCCATCCCCCCATCATGGTGGTATACACAACCCTCCCACCATCAGGGGTATAAACCAACCATCCCCCCATCCTGGTGGGATACAAACCATTTCCCCCCTCTGGTGGATACCAACCCTCCCACCATCAGGGGTAAAAACCATCCCCCCATTTATGGTGGTTACACAAACCCTCCCCCATCATGGTGCAGGAACACACCCTCCAGGTACTCTTGGGGCACATATGGATGCATTAAAATATAAGATTGGGGCAACGAGGGCCAAGGGGGCTGTGACCGAACCCTACAACTACACACAGGCGAATACTACACCCCAATTATGATGAAGTGTTTTAACTGAAAAATAATAATAGGATAATAATAAGAAATAATAATAACAATGATAATAACAAGAGTGGAGTCATCACTCACCATCATGGAGTTCATGTGTCTGAGGAGAACAGCGTTGCCATACAGGAGAGTCCGGTGGCCCGAGCCCGTACCTTTACCCTGAGGAATATACAGCAGTGGTAGAATACAAGTGTAGGTATACCCACTCCATAGTATCCTACACCCACTTCATAGTATCCTACACCCACTCCATAGTATCCTACACCCACTTCATAGTATCCTACACCCACTCCATAGTATCCTACACCCACTCCCTAGGCTCCTATACCCACTCCCTAGTACCCTATATCCACTCCCTATACCCTATATCCACTCCCTAGTACCCTACACCCACTCCCTAGTATCCAACACCCCTCCTTATCCTATACCCATAGCCTAGAACCCTACACCCATCCCAAGTATCTTAGACCCACTAACTGGTATCCTACACTCACTCCCTAGTATCCTACACCCACTCTCTAGTAAACCTACTGCCTAGTAACCTACACCCTTTCCTTAATATCGTGCACTCCCTAGTACCCTACACCCACTCTTTGGTAACCTACACCTACTCCCTAGTAACATACACCCACTTCCTAGTATCGTGCACTCATTCTCTAGTACCTTACACCCATCCCTAGTACCCTACACCCATTTCCTAATATATATTTATATATATATTATATATATATAATATATATATATATATTTATATATATAATATATATATATATTATTATTATTTTTTTTATTATCACACTGGCCGATTTCACCAAGGCAGGGTGGCCCGAAAAAAAAAACTTTCACCATCATTCACTCCATCACTGTCTTGCCAGAAGGGTGCTTTACACTACAGCTTTTTAAACTGCAACATTAACACCCCTCCTTCAGAGTGCAGGCACTGTACTTCCCATCTCCAGGACTCAAGTCCGGCCTGCCGGTTTCCCTGAATCCCTTCATAAATGTTACTTTGCTCACACTCCAACAGCACGTCAAGTATTAAAAACCATTTGTCTCCATTTCACTCCTATCAAAACCTGCACGCATGCCTGCTGGAAGTCCAAGCCCCTCGCACACAAAACCTCCTTTACCCCCTCCCTCCAACCTTTCCTAGGCCGACCCCTACCCCGCCTTCCTTCCACTACAGACTGATACACTCTTGAAGTCATTCTGTTTCGCTCCATTCTCTCTACATGTCCGAACCACCTCAACAACCCTTCCTCAGCCCTCTGGACAACAGTTTTGGTAATCCCGCACCTCCTCCTAACTTCCAAACTACGAATTCTCTGCATTATATTCACACCACACATTGCCCTCAGACATGACATCTCCACTGCCTCCAGCCTTCTCCTCGCTGCAACATTCATCACCCACGCTTCACACCCATATAAGAGCGTTGGTAAAACTATACTACTCATAATTCCCCTCTTTGCCTCCAAGGACAAAGTTCTTTGTCTCCACAGACTCCTAAGTGCCACATCACTCTTTTTCCCTCATCAATTTCTATGATTCACCTCATTTTCATAGACCCATCCGCTGACACGTCCACTCCCAAATATCTGAATACGTTCACCTCCTCCATACTCTCTCCTCCAATCTGATATCCATCTTTCATCACCTAATCTTTTTGTTATCCTCATAACCTTACTCTTTCCTGTATTCACCTTTAATTTCTTCTTTTGCACACCCTACCAAATTCATCCACCAATCTCTGCAACTTCTCTTCAGAATTCCCAAGAGCACAGTGTCATCAGCAAAGAGCAGCTGTGACAACTCCTACTTTGTGTGTGATTCTTTATCTTTTAACTCCACGCCTCTTGCCAAGACCCTCACATTTACTTCTCTTACAACCCCATCTATAAATATATTAAACAACCACGGTGACATCACACATCCTTGTCTAAGGCCTACTTTTACTGGGAAAAAATTTCCCTTTCCTACATACTCTACTTGAGCCTCACTATCCTCGTAAAAACTCTTCACTGCTTTCAGTAACCTACCTCCTACACCATACACTTGCAACATCTGCCACATCCATATCCATCCAAATCCATAAATGCCACAAAGACCTCTTTAGCCTTATCTAAATACTGTTCACTTATATGTTTCACTGTAAACACCTGGTCCACACACCCCCTACCTTTCCTAAAGCCTCCTTGTTCATCTGCTATCCTATTCTCCGTCTTACTCTTAATTCTTTCAATTATAACTCTACCATACACTTTACCAGGTATACTCAACAGACTTATCCCCCTATAATTTTTGCACTCTCTTTTATCCCCTTTGCCTTTATACAAAGGAACTATGCATGCTCTCTGCCAATCCCTAGGTACCTTACCCTCTTCCATACATTATTAAATAATTGCACCAACCACTCCAAAACTATATCCCCACCTGCTTTTAACATTTCTATCTTTATCCCATCAATCCCGGCTGCCTTACCCCCTTTCATTTTACCTACCGCCTCACGAACTTCCCCCACACTCACAACTGGCTCTTCCTCACTCCTACAAGATGTTATTCCTCCTTGCCCATATACACGAAATCACAGCCTCCCCATCTTCATCAACATTTAACAATTCCTCAAAATATTCCCTCCATCTTCCCAATACCTCCAACTCTCCATTTAATAACTCTCCTCTCCTATTTTTAACTGACAAATCCATTTGTTCTCTAGGCTTTCTTAACTTGTTAATCTCACTCCAAAACTTTTTCTTATTTCAACAAAATTTGTTGATAACATCTCACCCACTCTCTCATTTGCTCTCTTTTTACATTGCTTCACAACTCTCTTAACCTCTCTCTTTTTCTCCATATACTCTTCCCTCCTTGCATCACTTCTACTTTGCCGTATGTGTCTTTTAAATCCCTTCTCGGCTACGCCATACTTCAACAACTTGTCCCACTAGCTGCCCTCACCTAATTTCACAATTTGTAAGGTATAAAGAAACAGGATCATTATCATAAAACAGTGAGGACGTGGAGTGAGCTTAGTATGGTTGTGTTGGTAAGAATATCTATGCTAAATGATTTAAGCACGATATAAAAGACGAGATTCAGACATAGAGCCATCTGTGGAAGATGTTACTTATATTTCAATAAGAAACGTTTAGTATAATTAGTCATACAATTTATTGTAACATAAATAATAATGAAAATGGGAAGAATCTGAATAGTGGTAACTAAGGGAGCATGAGGAATAAATAAAAATCTACATTCAGGCAAGGGCAACTTAGAAGGTAATGGAAGGGGTCAAAGTTAAGGTGAAAGTAGCTGAAGGCGGTAGGAAGGCAGTTGAGAGCTGAAGGCAGCAGACGGAAGCTGAAAAAAGTTCAAAGCAGCAGGTGAGAGCTGAAGGTAGACGAGGATAAATGAAGGCGGCAGAGAGAAACTGAGAGTAGGAGAAGGTAACAGATGGCAGGTGAAGACAGAAGGGGGCAAGTAAAGACAGCCGGTATACACAAGAACAACACATCGGGAAGTGTCTTCGTTTCCAGTGATGTCTGTTAGCCTAACATCAACTTCCTTATAGTTCTGAACATCATCCCAGTGTACCAACATGTAAGATATATTATTTTATATATGTGAAATCATTAAGTTAAGCTATTTAGCACAGACTGACATATGGTATAGTACAGATGATATACACTAGTGGCATGCTCCAGTAGTATTCTGCTTGTCATATTACAAGGGTAGTAGAAACAGATGTTACTGTCTTCAGGACATGGAATGGTCATACAACTTATTCATCTTCTCCTAATTAGCATCTGTAATACTCTTGTCTGGCAAACACTACAAACATTTCATTATTTATGTTAGGAATACTTATTTGTATTTTACTAATATTATTTTATTTGGAGAATAACATATCTGAATAGCAAGAAATCCTCCCTTGAAGTGAGTTAAAATATAGTCATTGGTGGCAATGAACGTCTCAAATTATATCCTGAAGGATTTGAATGGATGAACACGGAGATTACTGTATTTGCTTCGGCTACGGAATTCAAGAATTTAGAACGTACGTTCATGAGGAATTCTTTATAAAGACGACACACTTGCCCTGTGCGAGGTGGAACCCACAACTTGTCAAAGTGCTTCTGCAGGATACAACTATCCAATACTTGGAAGCTTGGGATGTTTATAACGGATAAATTTAATTTGTCTCACTGAAAAAAGACACAGTTTAGTTACTCAAAGGTAATGTTTACGTCTCGATATGAATGAGAAGTTTTAATAGCTGGAATGAATCAATAACGCTTTAATCTAAGACCAGTAGGTTGGATTTGGCCTCTGATGTTCTTGTGCAAATCTAACAGTCAGGACTTGGCCAGTCATGCTTTACTGCAAGTCCAGTACTCAGGCCAGTGACTCTCTACTGTAAGTCCAGTAGTCAGGACTTGTCCTGTGACGCGCTACTGCAAGTCCAATATTATGGATTTGGCCAATGGCCATTGACCAAGTCTAGTAGTCAGGACTTGGCCAGTGACGCTGGTTTGTGGCCCTCTTAGTGTAACTTCAGTTTTTATCACTTAATCAACTGGCTCAGTTATGATTACTATTATGTTATACGTATCGAGGTGATATTGATAATATTCCAGTAAGAATAGTCTGAAATAATGAAATTATTTTTTACCGGCCAGCGTTAGCACTATTTTTTCCACAAAGAAGTGTCTGTTAACATACGCTTCACGAATGATGATGAAGCAACACGAGGAGAGGGAAGCTTTATTTATATCTACAATACAAACTCAGGGAGCTAAGAATTAGCTAAGATTCTGGTAATTCAATGGAATAAAGGTGGAGGAAGTGAACTCAAATTTTGCATGTCAAGTGTTGTTGGCCTCCCAGTAAAAAAATTCTGATAAAATTGTATGGGAGTGAAGTTCAAATAACCACTCATAAAAATATAACACGGATCAGAAAAAAAAATATAATGCATCAGAGATCTTCCATGATCGAAAGAGGTCATGTCACAGTCTCCCTCACCACTTCTAGTTACATCAGTCCCCTTCCTGGAGAAAAGAAAGAAAGGGTAGGAACCTAGCACTTGCATTTTGTAAATTCTGAGATGCCCATGTTAAGAACATCTTTAGTAATTCATAAATAGTACATGGTATCGGGTAACTATAATTCTCTAGGAGATTAATAGAGGGGGAGAGCTGTGTTCTATGATCAATGAAACTGGTCGTTGATAAAGGTCGCTTGACATGACCTCTCAGACGACGGTCAAGGTGTGACGTGCCACTATCTGTTCTTATGAGTGTTTGAAGCACGTCGCAGCCCTGGTGTCGCCGAGCAGTGGAAGTTTAATCTTATATTGCAAGAGGGTCAAAGGTGCTTGAGGGTCGGGCAGGATCACACCACTCGGCCCCTACCTTGCCTCGCCGCCTCTACTTCCTTCAACACCTGGCCCATAGTGACCATCCACACCTGTATGCCTGCGTTTATAACCTACTACTCATAACCTGGGTTGGTTTTACCTCACTGTACTATAGTTATAATGTTCTACCAGACTCCTCTATACGAAACTGCCTGATGACTTGCTCTACTTTCATACACCTAGAATAACGCATCCCCAATTTATGCTCCACAAATAACTTACTGCTGTGAAATCCTCGTATATATTTTCATTTAATCGAATGTATTCTCTGGGTCATCAATGTAAGTTTTCTGCTAACATGATTTAGCAGTGATCAACTCTGTGAGTAACTCCTACAAAAATGACTAATGATTAATATGTGAGTAACGTCGACAGACGTGGCTTGGCAGAGAGTAATCTATGAGTAATGCTCGAAGACACGTCTTGGCAGCGACTAGCTCTGTGAGTAACGTAACATGAAACTTTTTGAGATCTGTTGTGGAGTCAGTGTTCTCAAGGAGAGAAGTCTCATTACTAAACACAATGCCATACAAAGTAAAAAAAAAACTGCTCAAGAGCTCTTTATGTGTGTTGAGAGTATTGCAGCTGTAGTGTTGTGTCTGCCTCTAGTAAATATATTTAACACTGTCTACTTTTCTTTTCTTCCACTGTCTACAGATTACCGCGGTCTGATACTGTCTAAAGTTATTCTTACCTTTTCACCTACATTATCATAATAAGAGAGACTATCAACAATGTTATCAGAGCCTACTGTTCTGACTGTATTTGAACATTATGAGGCTAGCCACATCTCACTTCCCTCCATGATTACATTTTAACATACACGAACGTTGACCACGCCAAGCATATACTCCTACACCTACACCCAGATGTTGCTTAGTTTCTCCTCTACGTTGACTCACGAAATCGTAATAACACGATTGCAAATAAACCACGGTACGGGTGGGGTTAGAACTCCAGGCATATGTACTGACCTGGAGTTTTACGACTCACTTACCAGGAGTTTTAACCCCACCCGTACCGTAGCTTCTTCTCTCTACCTAGAGTGGCGAGGGGGTCCCTCCTTACCCTGGTCGTCAATATGTTACAAGCAATTGACAAGATTAGTCCTTCCACCCTCAGCAGAATCATTAAACAACAAATATTACCATATTAACTACTCTAATATTTAGGTGTACTTTTTATATTTACGTTCACTACCAAGAGTGAAGAGAACTACTGTTTAGTTTGTCTTTATGAGCTCTAAATACCATCTGCGTTAAAACTAGATACAGTGTGAGAGTTGAGTACAAGAGCTGTGCCCAGGATGAGACCAGTGGCCTTCATCACTCCTCAATACCACCCTAGAGTACTGATATGAGGAGGGACAGTAGAACACCCTAGATCTCCACTCTCCTTGTAAAGTAAGGGTAGGGACCACGAGACTACTGTTCCTCGTCTCTATCCTCCATGGGCAGTAGGGAAGAGGCAGGATACATACGATTAACTGTCCCTCTAGGCTCTATCCCCTACTACCAGGAGAGACTTTGCCAGTCTCTTCTGAAAAAAGCCGAAGTCAACATCTACTGCTTAATGTGCATGGGAAAATAATGGATACTGTGTGGAAAGTAATGCCGTCTTAGTCGGTGAAGGAGGCGAGGTGGTGAGCGAGGCAGGGCGTCCGCATAATGTTCTACTTACAACGGACTGGTTCTCCTGAAAAATAGCAAAATGTTCAGGTGAGATTAGGGTGAGGCTGGCGAGGCGGACGACCCTGAGACTAGTCACTGCCTCGCGATGCTGCTGCTCAGGGGCTGCCGTTAAAGGATTCCGTTAAGGTGCCATTAGGGGCTGCCGTTCAGGGTCGCCCGACCTGCCTCCTCTTTTACCCTTACACTTACTACCAGGATAAATTTTTCGTGTTTATCCCACAAATTAATTTTAATCATCAGTTCAGAATAAGTGTTTTTGAGTTACACACTAAATATTTCTTGATAGGTGTTAGATGCGTGAATCTCGTACCCTAATACAGGACCTCTGGAGTTATCTAGTTACAGCAATACAATACCAAGTTACAGCAGCGGAAGTAGCAGCAATATCAGTAGCAAGAAAGTGGCAGCAGCTGCTGCTACAGACGCCGCTGCATATTCTCATAATCTGTTCCTCTAGTACTTACAAAACGAGGGATATAGAAAATTGATACAACCAGGAAATTCTTCGCTCTCTTTAAGATCACACTGATACACTTCACCACCATCTACACACTGACACAGTCCACCACCACCTACACTAACACATCCATCTCATCACCACCTACTGACACTGTCCATCCACCACCACTTACACTGACACCATCCACCACCAAATACACTGACACCAACCGCCACCACCTACACACTGACATAGTCCACCCCACCTACACTGACACCATCCACCACCACCTACACTGACACATCCACTACCACCTACACTGACACCAGCCACTACCACCTACACTGACACCATCCATCACCACCTAGACCACTGACATAGTCCACCACCACCTACACTGACACCACCCACCACCTACACTGACACCATCCACCACCACCTACACTGACACCATCCGCTACCACCTACACTGACACCATCCACCACCACACTGACACCATCCACCACCTACACTGACACCATCAACCACCACCTACACTGATACCATCCACTACCACCTACACTGACACCATCCATCACCATTTACAATGGCACCATCCACCACCGTCTACACTGACACCATCCACCACGACCTACACTGACACCATTCACCACCACCTACACTGACACCATCCACCACCACCTACACTGACACCATCCACACCACCTATACTGACACCTTCCACCGCCACCTACACTGACACCATCCACTACCACCTACACTGACACCATCCACCACCACCTACACAGACACCATTCACCACCACCTACACTAACACCATCCACCATCACCTACACTGACACCATCCACCATCACCTACACTGACACCATCCACCACCACCTACACTGACACTATCCACCACCACCTACACTGATACCATCCACTTCCACCTACAGTGACACCATCTACACCATCCACTACCACCTACACTGACACCATCCACCACCACCTACACTGACACCATCCACCACCACCTACACTGACACTATCCACCACCACCTACACTGACACCATCCACCCCACCTACACCATCCACTACCACCTACACTGACACCTTCCACCACCACCTACATTGACACCATCCACCACCACCTACACTGACACCATCCACCACCACCTACCACTGACACCATCCACCACCACCTACACTGACACCATCCACACCACCTACACTGACACTATCCACCACCACCTACATTGAACACCATCCACCACCACCTACACTGACACCATTCACCACCACCTACATTGACACCATCCACCACCACCTACACTGACATTATCCACGACCACCTACACTGACACCATCCACCACCATCTACACAATGATATAGTCCACTACCATCTACACTGACACCATCCAACACCACCTACACTGATACCTCCACGACCACCTACATTGACACCATCCACCACCATCTACACAATGATATAGTCCACTACCATCTACACTGACACCATCCAACACCACCTACACTGATACCCTCCACGACCACCTACATTGACACCATCCACCACCACCTACACTGACACCATCCACCACCACCTACACTGACACCATCCACCACCACCTACACTGACACTATCCACCACCACCTACACTGACACCATCCACCACCACCTACACCATCCACTAACCACCTACACTGATACCTTCCACCACCAAACCCACATTGACACCATCCACCACCACCTACACTGACACCATTCACCACCACCTACATTGACACCATCCACCACCACCTACACTGACATTATCCACGACCACCTACACTGACACCATCCACCACCATCTACACAATGATATAGTCCACTACCATCTACACTGACACCATCCAACACCACCTACACTGATACCATCCACGACCACCTACATTGACACCATCCACCACCACCTACACTGACACCATCCACCACCCCCTTCATCACACCATCCACCACTACCTACACTCACACCATCCACGACCACCTACACTGACACATCCACCACCACTACATTGACACCATCCACCACCACCTACACTCACACCATCCACCACCACCTACACTCACACCATCCGCCACTACCTACACTCACACCATCCACGACCACCTACACTGACACCATCCACCACCACTACACTCGCACCATCCACCACCACCTACACGGACCCCCATCCACCACCACCTACACCGACACCATCCACCACCACCTACACTGACACCATCCACCACCACCTACACTGACACCATCCACCACCACCTACAATGACACCATCCACCACCACCTACACTGACACCATCCACCACCACCTACATTGACACCATCCACCACCACCTACACTCACACCATCCACCACCACCTACACTCACACCATCCGCCACTACCTACACTCACACCATCCACGACCACCTACACTGACACCATCCACCACCACCTACACTCACACCATCCACCACCACTACACGACACCATCCACCACCACCTACACCGACACCATCCACCACCACCTACACTGACACCATCCACCACCACCTACACTGACACCATCCACCACCACCTACAATGACACCATCCACCACCACCTACACTGACACCATTCACCACCACCTACACTGACACCATCCACCACCACCTACACTCACACCATCCACCACCACCTACACTGACACCATCCACCACCACCTACATTGACACCATCCACCACCACCTACACTCACACCATCCACCACCACCTACACTCACACCATCCGCACCTACCTACACTCACACCATCCACGACCACTACACTGACACCATCCACCACCACCTACACTCACACCATCCACCACCACCTCACACACAACCCTCACCACCACCACCTACACCGACACCATCCACCACCACCTACACTGACACCATCCACCACCACCTACACTGACACCATCCACCACCACCTACAATGACACCATCCACCACCACCTACACTGACACCATTCACCACCACCTACACTGACACCATCCACCACCACCTACACTGACACCATCCACCACCACCTACACTGACACCATCCACCACCACCTACACTGACACCATCCACCACCACCTACACTGACACCATCCACCACCACTTACACTGACACCATCCACCACCACTTACACTGACACCATCCACCACCACCTACACTGACACCATCCACCACCACCTACACTGACACCATCCACCACCACTTACACTGACACCATCCACCACCACTTACACTGACACCATCCACCGCCACCTACACTGACACCATCCACCACCACTTACACTGACACCATCCACCACCACTTACACTGACACCATCCACTACCACTTACACTGACACCATCCATCACCACTTACACTGACACCATCCACCACCACCTACACTGACACCATCCACCACCACCTACACTGACACCATCCACCACCACCTACACTGACACCATCCACCACCACCTGCACTGACACCATCCACCACCACCCACACTGACACCATCCACCACCACTTACACTGACACCATCTACCACCACTTACACTGCACCATCCACCACCACTTACACTGACACCATTCACCACCACTTACACTGACACCATCCACCACCACTTACACTGACACCATCCACCACCACCTACACTGACACCATCCGCCACCACTTACACTGACACCATCCACCACCACCTACACTGACACCATCCACCACCACTTACACTGACACCATCCTCCACCACCTTCACTGACACCATCCACCACTACCTACACTGACACCATCTACCACCACTTACACTGACACCATCCACCACCACTTACACTGACACCATCCACCCCCACCTACACTGACACCATCCCAAAACCACCTACACTGACACCATCTACCACCACTTACACTGACCGTCCACCACCACTTACACTGACACCGTCCACCACCACTTACACTGACACCATCCACCACACTTACACTGACACCATTCCACC